CCCCACCCCTCCTAATCCCTGCCAAGCCCAGGTCACTCTCTTCTTAGTCATGTGTCATCTTGCAGATACAGTATTGTTTCCCTCGGTGATTTGAGATCGGTCCGAGCTGGGACTATCAGTAGTTCAGTTTTGTTCTCTGCTAGGAATTGAAGGCTTTAAGGAATTAGGTTTTGGCTCTCAGTCTGACCCCCCCTTCAAGTATCTAATAAGATTATAACAGTCATTTAAATTTTTCTGTTACATTTATTTGCATTTAATCTGCGTTTGCATGTACGCGGAGGTAGAGGATAGCGTGAGGGATACGGTTCTCCCTCCACCGTGTGCGTCCTGAGGATCAGACTCAGGTTGTCAGATATGGCGACAGCTCCTCTACCCACTGGGTAGCTTGCCAGCCCAATGTACAGGTCTTATATTTGAATTATAGAAGGCTAAGGTAAGGGAAGTTTACTGTTTAAACCGAGGGCTAGTGTGTTGCTGCTTAGTGCGACTAGAAATAAGTTGAACTCAAGTGTTTGTACAACTAAAGTGTTTGTTCAGGGCATTTCCTAATTAAGCAACTGCGGTTATACATGAGTTTTCAGGTTTATTTTGGAGACAAAGTCTTGCCAAGTTGCCTAGGTTGGCATTGAACTTGCCAAGGAAGATCTTGAATTTAGGGTTCTCCTGCATTAGCCTCCAATGTAGATGCGGTTACAGGTCTGAGCCACTGTGCTCAGTTGTGAGTGATATTGTAAAAGAAATCTCATGTCAGTGTTGACTGGACACTTGTTAGTGCCAACCTGATAGTATTGTGTGTGTGTGTGTGTGTGTGTGTGTGTGTGTGTGTGTGTGTGTGTGTATGTGTTGCTAGGGGTTAGACCCACGGCTTGGTGAATGTTGAGTTAGTTCCACTATTGGGCTAGATCAAAAACAGAGCTCCACCTGCCTCTGCCTCCTGAGTGCCAGGACTAAAGGTGTGTGCCACCACTGCCCAGCTCACACAGGTTGTTTTTGCATATCCTTTTAACAGTGCCTACAGAAAAACCCTTATTCAAGCCCATGCATGGCATCAGAGGCTTTTGTGTGTTTCGTAGAGTCCAGATTCAGGTTTGTATTCATGTTAATTGTGTTGTCAGCTTTTTCACATGTAGAATTATTTTCCATGTGCATATAATGAGGCAGTTGAGGTGCACTTTGAGGTGCCATTATTCATGTGTCACCTCCATGTGCTTGTGTGAAGGAAGCATCTGCAGAGGACTGTGGTGGAAAGGGCATCCAATATCACAAAAGCTGCAGCCAGCCACTGTCCTCGCACGGGAGAACTGTGTTAGCAAAATTGTCAGCAAGGATACTTGGTGAAGTATTTGCCACTGTGTTTGGGTAGGTCATAACTTTAGATATTATAACCAATGGCCGTTTCAGCCTCTAGCTAATAACTTGGTTTAGGCTGTCCACTCTTTGAGACTGTTTGATTTGTAATTTTTAAAAAATGTGTATGAGTTCTTTTTTCCTGCATGTCTGACTGTGTACCATGTGCATGACTAGCGTGCATAGAGGTCAGAAGAGGGCATCTGATCCCCTGGAATTGGAGTTAGACATGGGTGTGAGCCATCATGTAGGTGATGGAAACTGAACTCTAGTCCTTTGGAAGAGCAGATGCTGAGTGATTTTACCTGATGATCAGTCTTTCCACAAAGACTTCCTTCCTTCCTTCCTTCCTTCCTTCCTTCCTTCCTTCCTTCCTTCCTTCCTTCCTTCCTTTTTTCTTCCCTCCTTCCTTTCTCTCTCTTGCTCCAGCCTGGTACTCAGTATATAGATCAGCCTTAAACACACAGAGATCTGCCTGCCTCTGCCTCCCAAATGGTAGGATTAAAGGCGGTCGACACCATGCTAGCCACATTTTGTTTTTCTTTCTTTTTCTTCCCCCTCCTCCAAGACAGGATTTCTCTGTGTAATCCTGGTTGTTCTAGAAATCACTCTGTAGACCAGGCTGTCCTTGAACTCAGAAATCTGCCTGCCTTTGCCTTCTGAGTGCTGGGATTAAAGGCGTGCACCCCCCCCCCCAGCTCCACATTTGTGTTTTTCTAAATTAATTTTCTTTCATGTGCATGTGTGTATCTGTGTAAGTTTATGTATGCCACCTGTGTGTAGGATCCCACTGAGGCCAGGAAAAGGTATTGGATCCCCTGAATGTGAGCTGTCATGTGGGTTCTGGGAACCAAACCTAGGTTCTCTGCAAGAGTAGAAAGTGCTCTAAACTCCGAGTCGTCTTCTCTCCAGCACCCTCTGTGTCCCTCTGTGTCCAGCTGTCCTTTTCACCAGTCTTTATGAATCCATGTGTGGCAACTGAATTTATTGTAAAAAAAAAAAAAAAGGCTAATATTTAGGAAGAGACGATGATTACTTTTTTAAATTTGAGATAGGGTTTCGATATGTAGCTCTAGAAACTTACAGATATCTACTTGCTGTGGCACTGTGTGGAGGTAGAGGTCAGAGGACAACATATAGAAATTGCTTTTCCCTTTCACAGTATTGTACCAGGGTGTAAAGCAGTGTCAGGCTTGGTGGCAGGTACATTTACCTGCTGAGCCGTCTTTCCAGCCCTGTGAAGAGAGCATATACATGTGTTATATATGACATGTATGATATATATATCATATATATGTGTGTGTGTGTGCGCGCGCGCGCATGTGTGTTGTATGTATGTGTTCATGTGTGTGCATGTGTGTTATGTGTGTGCTTGGATTTGTGCCTGTGTGCATGCACACCTTTGGCATAGCACATGTTCATTATGGCAGATGGAGGTTAGAGGACAGTCCCCCCCACTTTTGGTTTTTCAAGACAGAGTTTTTCTTTGTAATAGCTCTGGCTGTCCTCGAACAAGCTCTGTAGACCAGGTTGGCTTCGAACTCAGAGATGTCCTATCTCTGCCTTCCAAGTGCTGGAATTAAAGCTGTGTGCTGTCACTACCTGGCTCAGAGGACAATTTGTAGGAGTTGGTTCTTTCCCTCTATCATGTGAGTCTCTGGGACCAAACTCATGTCATCAGGCTTGCTGGAAGTCTTACTCCAGGGCCCTTAACTATTTTATATTTTTATTTTATAAACATTGGTGTTGTGTGTGTGTATGTGTGTTTGTGTGTGTGTGTGAGAGAGAGAGAGGATGTTGGATCTCTGGAACAGGAGTTACAGACAGGTTTGAGCTGCCATGTGGTGCTGGGACTTGAACCTGAGTCCTCTGGAAGTGCAGCCAGTGCTTTTGACTGCTGAGCCATCTCTTCAGCCCTGGTTTACTTATTTTTATTTTATATATATTTTTCCTTACTATGTAGCTCTGGCTGGTTGGAGCTTGCTGTGTAGACCAGGCTGGCCTTGAACTCACAGAGCTCTGCCTGTGTCTGCTTCCAGAGTATTAGAATTAAAAGCATGTATCACCACACTCAGCTACAGTGTTACTTTTAAAATTTAAAAATAGAAATCTTTCTGGACCAAAGGCATAGCGAAATAAGTTGATGCCCTTACTTCATGTACTATCACATTTCTAATAATCTGGCAAGTGAAGACACTTCATAAGTGAAGGCAGTGTTGAAATGGCTGCGATGGAAACATACAGTATCAACTCTCACGCTTACATAGGCTCCACCGTGTAAGATATGGAAATGTTAGCAGTGACTGGATAAAATGAGCAGGAAGTGAACACTGTTTAGATGCTGAGGTCATGGCAAACCTTTGTGTAGGGTTTTATTAGTGTTACAATGTTAATTGTGTGATGAAAATATCATAGTACAGTCATGGGGTACAGTCAGCGTGACCAGGCTAACCCATCTTGAAGATGCCCGCCTTCTACACTTCCAGCCGTGTCTACTCCTGAGGGGACGCTGGCTTGGAAGTGGCTTACAGCCAGCTTCAATTCCTGGAGTGTTTTCTGTTAGTGAATTATTTTCTTGCAAAGATGCACAGATCTTCATGGCAGTTGAGACTATTAAATTTACAAAGTCTTGCAAATAGACTAGACTGTGTAGTTCTGTGACCATTGATAATTGGATCTTAGTTAATCTTATTAGTTTGAAGAAGGCTCTGTGTGTGTGTGTGTGTGTGTGCGTGTGTGTGCGTGTGTGTGTGTGTATGTGTTTTGTTGTTTGTTTTCTTGAGACAGTGTTTCACTATGTAGACCAGGCTGTCCTCAGAGGTCTACTTACCTCTTTGCTGGGTTTAAAGGTGTATGCCATCACACCTGCCTGATAAAGATGTAACTTTTAATGCTTCTTTTTAAAAAGAAGATTTATATTGTTTCCTTTTTATGTGTATGAGTGTTTTGCCTTCATATCTGCACCATGTACATGCCTAGTGATCAAGGAAGTCAGAAGAGGCTGTTAGCGCTCCTGGAGCTGGAGTTATAGATGGTTATTAGCCATCTTGTAGGTACTGGGAAGTGAACCCAGGTCCTCTGCAAGAGCAGCTAGTGCTCTTAATCGATGTGCCATCTCTCCAGCCCCTGAAGGCTAACTTTTAATTGCACAGAAATATCCAGCATTGCAATTTCTCCTTTCATTTTTCTCCCTTCTTTGTCGTCTTCTGCCCCCTCATCCTCCATTCTTTTAACGGCAAACTCACTATGTAGGTGAAGATAACCCTGAACTCCTGATCCCTCTGCCTTCCATCTCCTTAGTGTCAGGATTAGACGTAGGTGCTACCAGTTCTGTGAAGTGCCAGCATTGAACTTTATGTGTGCTAGTCAAACATTCTGTCAATTGAGCTACATCCAGTCTGGGATTTGCAGTTTTTCTTAAACATTTTAATGGCACAGGGTCTGATCAGCTAATAGCTTCAGTTTTAAAAGCCCTCATTTAACTTAATATAATATATTAAACAGTGTTTTTTGGAAAAAACTTACTATAAAAATATCATTGTATGTGTATTCTGTAGCCTTGCCTGTCCTAGACTTAGGATGTCTTACTATTGTAAACTGTGTAAAATATGTCTGAGTGCCCTGTGGCTAATGATGTGTTTCTTCCTTGGCAGTGCTGGGGGAAGGACTGGCCAGGGGAGAGGGTGCCTTCCGGGCAGTGCTGTGCTGCATGCAGCTGAAAGGGAAGCTCCAGCCTGTGTCCTCCATCCTTGCCAAGTCACTGTCAGGGGAGTCTCTGGTACGTTGCTGAGCATGGGTTTGAATGCTTGCAAACTGACATGGTTAACTCCTCAGAGGAGGATGAATTAAATAGGTGTATGTTTAGTGGACAGTGTAGTTCTGTCAGATGTCAAAGTTTATGAAAATCCCATTTTTTTTTTTTTCCTAGACAAGATTTCTTTATGTATTCCTGGCTGTCCTGGAACTTGCTTTGTAGATCAGGCTGCCCTCGAACTCTTAAGAGATCCGCCTGCCTCTGCCTCTTAAGTGCTGGGATTAAAGGCATGTACCACCCAGCCCAGTTGTTTTTCTTAAAAGGTAGTGTTGAGCAAAGTCTGAAACCATTTTTGGGTTAAAATATTGGTGTGTGTTTATTTCTTACAGAGTTCTTGTTATGGGTGTTGTGTTTTTGAGACTAGATTCTAACATGTAGCCCTGGCTGGCCCCCAGCTCAGAGTGATTCTACTGCCTCAACCATGTTGGGATTGCATATGTGAGTCACCGCACCTGGCTTCTTCATTTTTGTTTGTTTGAGACTTGGTCTCATTGTAGCCCAGGCAGGCCTTGAACTCACAGTCCTCTTGCCTCAGCCTTCCCGCGGCTGAGAACACGTGTGCTGCTATGCCTAGTCAACATTCTTAACGTCAACTATGTATAACATCTTTAGCTATGTTTAAACTAAGTACTGATTACTTCTGAACTAGAAAATGTATATGTATAAGTTAATATTTATATTTGTGGAATTATCTAGTTATATTTAGACAATAATTTTTTAAATACATAAATTTTCTAGATTTTTTTTTGTTTGTTTGTTTGCTGTAACCAAGTGCTCCATTTTGTAACTTTCATAGAGTTGATAATTTATAGGAATTTGGAAGAAAGAACTTTTTCCAGCAGTTGGTAGATGCTACAGGTCTTCTAGTATTTTTAGGCACCAACATGAAAATATTGAGAAGAAAATAGAAAGAATTTACCACGCAGTGTAAATTCTTTGTCAGTTACGCTTTAAATTGATTAGGAGTTTGAAAATCAAGAAAATATAGAAATTAGGAAAGCATTTAATATGCTATGAAGTGTAATATTATTGACCACGGTGGGTAATTTAGTCAACTTGTAAGGAATTACTGTGCAGTGAACTGCTTCCTTAATCTGATGATCTGATTTGTAAGTGTGAACACAGCAAAGAGATGCAGCTATTTATGTCTAGAAAGGTGTCAAGATGCACTTATTTCTTCTTTTCTCCTTTTGAGGCTGGGTCTCATTTCAGTTTGTGGAGGCTTGGGCTTCAGAGAAACTCCTTGCCTCCCTCTTGTGAGTGCTAGGGTTACAGTCACCATGCCTAGCAAGAGAAAAATGCTTGAAACAGGGTCTCTGTATGGACAGCCCAGGCTGACCTCAGGCTTGGGGTCTTCCCTGCCCATGCACGTAACAGCAGTCACAGGTGTGCCCAGCCTTAAAAGTGTTTCTCTATGGAAGTTAATCATTTTACTGTTTACCTGCTGCATTTTTAAATTTAGAAAGCCAGTGAAAGGTAATTTGCTTTTAATTTCCAAATTTTCTGAAATTTGCATTTCAAAAATTAAAAAAAACAAACCAGCTTCTTTAGACACTGCAGTGATTCTCTGGTTTTTCTAATTGTGGATAACCACCGAGTTCAGCATTTTGCACATACAGACAAACACATTAGCTCCAAGGGAGAGGAATAGTTTTAGATTTGCTTTTCTCATGTTTTGTTCCACAGTGATATCTTGGCAACCATTTTATGTAATTAAAAAAAATGTTTTACTTTTTGAGACATGGTTTCATGTAACCTTGGCTGGCCTGAACCCACTGTGTAGAGCAGGCTGGCCTCGCATTCATGAAGACCCGCCTGCCTCTGCCTTCTGAGTGCAGAATATTTTACATTCAGGTGAGTGTGGAGTGTGTACTTAGCAGGAGTGACCTCGAAGTCCTTGTTCCTGTTACGCCTCTGTCCTTTTCCCAGGAGCAGTTGTGTGGGGGAGGGGAGAGGAGCTGTAGTGACACAGTTGAGCTGAGTTGGGAAGTAAAGAGCTGACACATTGATGGTTTTCACCTTTGCAGAATGGCATGGTAACGAAAGATTTGACAAGACTCAAGACGCTTCTGACAGAAACAGAGGTGAGTCTATTTCAGGATCTCATTGAGCCAGTCAAACCCAGTGAGGTCAGTGAGCATTCTGTGTTAGCATTTGGAACATTGTGGTAGTGTCAGCCAAGATGTGACATAGCTGGTTACCTCTGGTCAGGGATCATGCATCTGCCCTCCTCACATCTTCCTGGGAAAATCTCCCATACCTGGCTCTTATCCCAGAATCCTTTCCGCCTGCCAGATATCCCACCTCCTATTCTTCCCTTTCCTATAGGCCATAGGTTTTTAGTTGACAGGTGAAGCAGCCATACAACACACAAGACATTCTCTCTACACTCAGCTTGTTTTCTCCTTCTGTGAAACTGGTTGGGTCCCACCCTCAAAACACAGCCTGTTCTCAGGTCTCCTCTGCATTCTAGGTCTTTTGTTCTGTCTATAATTCTTCCTTTTCTTTCTCCTCTTTTTCTTCACATGCATATATGTGTGTGGTTTGTCTGTATGTGTATTCACACATTTGTGGACACACGTGGATGTGTGGGTATGAGTGTACACATGTGCGCACATTGATGTGCAGGCCTGAGGTTGATGCCAGATGTCTTCCTCAGTCACACTCTGTTGAGGCTGCGTCTCTCGCTGAACCTGGAGCATAGCAATTCTGGCTAGTCAGCTCGCCAAGTGTCCCCGAAACCCTGTCTCTGTCTCTTGAGTGCTGTCACTGGAGGAGGGCTCCATTGCCTCCTCCAATGACAGCCTCCCAAGCTTTCCCATGGGTTCACATCTGCAGAGCAAGCTCCTGAAACACTGAGTCCCATCCCCCTGCTCCCATCCCTGTTATTCTTTTTAGTTATCTCTGGCCCCAAATAGACAGTACTTGGGATATTTTAAGTTTTGATTATTTTGATTATCTCTTATACCATCCTTTCTGTGGTATAAGACATTGCCAGTTTCATCTTAATATGAAGTTTCCTCTCTCTGAAGGCTGATGTCTGGGTAGCAAGAAACCCAGTGGCCCACTTGGAGAAGCAGGTAGCTCAAGTGCACCCCGGGGCAAGCCATGGTTAGTTAGCCGAGTGCTAGAAACACAAGCAGGAAAAGGAGGGCTGGATACTGTTTTGGGGAGACCTTGGAGGCAGGAGTGTCCGAGCTGGGCCAGAGAAGTAAAGATCCACAGGGGAGTTGATACAGGTGAGGTTGGTAAATGGTTGGTTCAGGGAGAAGTAAGGCAAGTGGCCATGCAGTGGCATTTGGGAGGAGAGTGTGTGACAGTCAGGAGAGGAGTTCTAGATCGGCTTGGGCAAACTAGAGAGAGCTCAGGAGGGAAGAGTTCAGCCTGAGGCCGTCCACTGGCTCAGCAGGAGTTTCTGGGCCCAGGTGGTAGAGGGCGAGAACTGATTCTTGGAAGTTGTGCTCTGACCTCTTACACTCTTGCTGTGCTGTGTGTGTCCATACACTTACACATGTATGAAATAGAGGAAGTGTAATAAAAATTGTGTAAAATTAAAAAGATTTCAGCTTGTGGCTGTCTTCAGGGGAAGAGGACTCCTTGAGGTGAAGACTGGAGAGGTTCGGGTTGGGGTGAAGTTGGTGAATTTTGTTTTGGACATTCTGTGGAGTGCTTAGGTGAGCCTCTGTGTGCTCACCACGCGAGCGCTGTTCTGGTGGAGGTGATGGCACTGCGGAAGGGCGGCTGTGGGCTGCTAGTGACAGAGCGTCACATCGCCAGCGGTGACCCACAGGTATGGCGTTGCAGCCTTACTAAGTGCTGCGAGGCACTTGGTCGGCCAAGGTGAGCTCAAAGCTAAGTGTGTTTCAATAGTTGTCTTCTGAAGAGAGGAAACCCAGGCTTGCAGCCCACTGTGAAAGGAAGGCCTGTCCCAGGTGGACGAGGACTTGACAGGAAGTGTCAGGAAGGCTCTGGTTGCTAACACACCATAACTTGCAGGAGTGAAAGCCACCCTCTTGCTGGCTGGGTGGTTCGCTAGGTGGTAGGCTGGAGAGTGAAGCCAACAACCATGGATGGCAGGGCTCACTTCAGGGGGTTCATAATTTAGACATTTCTTCAGCTAACAGATTGCTTTTCCACTGTAGGGAGGGATCTGGCAAGCACTTTATTTTCATGTTTTTACAGAGAAAAAGAAAGATTAAAAAAAGGTGCCAGACTAGGCCAGCAGAGTGCAGCAGAGAGAGCGGGCCTACTCTAGCCTGAGCTCTGAGAAAAAAGAAGAAGCAAAAAATGTTACTTGCCGCACACTATTATTGAAAACTTCCAAATAGATTTTTAATTCTTTAATATGTACATGTTTGCTTTACTATATTTGTGTAAATTATATTTAAGTATATAATATAAATGAAACATTTAAATATATTAAAGTATGTTAAATATACTTTATTAATATGTAGAATAGGCTATTTACATATTTAAATACTGTGTGGGAGCTTTGCCTGTGTGTGTCTGTGCATCATGTGCTGGCAGTGACCTCAGAGGCCAGGAGAAGCATCAGCGCTCCTGAGTCCAGGGGGATTGTGAACTGCAGTGTGGGACTTGGGGACCAAATCCTGGTGCTCTGTAAGAGCAGCCAGTGCTCTTAACAGCTGGGCCTCTATCCAGCCCTCTTCTCTTTTTCTCTTTCTCTTTTTTTCTTTTTTGGTTTTTCGAGACAGGGTTTCTCTGTGTAGCCTTGGCTATCCTGGACTCACTCTATAGACCAGGCTGGCCTTGAACCCACAGAGATCCACCTGGCTTTGCCTCCTGAGTACTGGGATTACCTCTTCTTTTACTTTTTAACATTGAAAATGAGTAAATTTAGACCAGCATCAGTCAGTTTTTTTTTTGTTTTTTGTTTTTTTTTTTTTAAATCTTAAACCTCTTGTATTTGAAAAATTGCAGACAGCAGCAAGTAATGCCGTCCCTGGATGTCATATGGAAGACTTAGATGAAGGTAAGTACTACATGTTGTCTAACCTTTGGCAACTCTTACTATGGCCCTTGCTTTTTTTATTGAAGAATTACTGGGAGGAAAATGACCAAGTACAGTCCCTACAGTTGGAAATATAGGAAAGGTGTAAACATTCAGAAGTAGGTGCAGGTTAAAGCAAATCTCTCTAAGGATGACTGAGTAATGATAACTACTCAGATAACTCTGTGTAGCTGAGGCTAGCCTCGAGCTTGATGCTCCTGCTCCATAACTGAGTGCTTGGATTGCAGATGCGCACCAGCATGCCTGCTCGCCCAGCTTGCCCCGAAATGCCTGCTTTGTGCGGCAGTAACTTTCACAAACCATGCGCTGGCTTCTCGGGCTTCTTATCCTTGGAGTCGGGCTTACAGTGAATATTTATTAAAGTTTAGTAGTCTTCCTGACACCCTGCTAGTGAAGGGTGAAGCACAACTTTTCAGCTTAGCCTGGCAGAATATCTTTCTTGTCCCCTGAGGAGAGGTTGGGGGACAGACACACTTGTGAGAATAGAAAATGCCTGCCTCGCCTTTCTCTCATAGGCCTTATTTTCTTGGGCTTATTTGTAGCTTCATCTAAATCAATCAAAATCATTTGTGTTCAGATATGTATGCACTTGGCTCTTATATTTGCTTAACTGTTTGAGCTTATTTCTGTTACTTGGTGTTCTGAGGTGATGTGCTCCAAACAGATCTTAAGGAGCTTCTCTTTCAGTGTGCATTGGTGGGGTTTGCCACAAGGCCTCCTTCCCAGACAGTCAGTTTCCATTCCTGAAGAAGTTCCTCGTGTGTCCGTCTGGAGAATGATGTGTACCAGTCTCTCTCCTGAGTTCTCAGAGAAGAGGCTTCTCTTCTCTGGGAGGAAGCCCACCCCTCTCAGATTCAGACTCAGGCCACCAACCTGATTTAGCCACTGGGTAATGGTCTCTGCAGCGTGCTATTTGCAGTTGGCCGGTTGGTAGAGGCACCTATGCTATATCCTTTTCACATCATCTGGGGTGATGTGTGTGTCAGGATGTGTTTCTTAGACATTAAGATACTGGAGTGACGAGGTATCCTTACATAATGTGGTTATGTCCTCATTTCTTCGTAGGCTCTTGTAATGGTTGGCATTTCCGCCCGCCACCCAGGGGAATCACAAGCAGTGAGGAATATACTTTGTGTAAAAGGTAATGTAAAAAAAATATTTTTAAAACAAATTACATGTCTCTTTTGAAAGGACAGATAATTTCCCTTCACTTTCTGAAGGCAGTAATTTAAATTCAAAGAAGATAATATGTGAAGAAAGAGAAAGAATAATTAGCAAGGGAAACGCTGTGTTTCCCATTTGAAGCAGAAGCCGCACAGGTCAGCAGCAAACCCACGAGGCTTCAGTGTTAATCAGCTGCCGTGCCGAGGCAGCCTGTTGACTGTTCAGACGTCTTTCATCCTGGCTGAACTTAATTGCGGCTCTTTTCAGTGTGGAATTTACTTAGATGTGGTAATTGGAGTTGAAATTAGTTCTTGTAAGCTGAAAGAGAGCACAGAATCAGTCATAGTCAACTATTGTAATGATGTCTGAAAAAAGTGCTGTCGTGTAGTTATATATGGAATTTTTGGTTACGTTGCATTTGAAGGTCTTTCAGAATTATGTAATTCACTATTAATAATTATTATTTCTAAAACTGTGGAAAGTCAACTAAAGTCCTGTTTTAAAAGATGAGCTCTTGAGCTCCTTTCATGAGAGTGAATGACTTGGCGACACTGTGCAGACTGTGAGGTTGCTTGGCTTAGCGACAGCAGTCTGATATGTGCCCTCATGAGACATGGTCAAGACAGCAGTTTGTTTTTGTAGTGAAAATAAGGAACAGAAATAGTAAACACTGCAGGTTTTGATGGTGCCAACTTACTGGAGAGAGGATGCAATCCTTTGGAAAAGAAACCTGAGAATTAGAGTCTAGATGAGAATAGAACCCTTTTTTACAGAGGGAAAGAATTGTTTGTTTCTTTGGTTTTTGAGACAGTATTTCTCTGTGTAGCCCTGGCTGTCCTGGAACTCACTTTGTAGTCTAGGCTGGCTTCGAACTCACAGAGATCCGCCTGCCTCTGCCTCCCGAGTACTGAGACCACAGACGGGCCCCACCATATGCCTGCATGTGTATCTGTTTACCATGAGTGTGCCTATTTCCCACAGAGGCTCAAAGAGCGTGTTGGAGTCTCCCCTTGGACAGGAGTTATAGACAGTTATGAGCTGCCGTGTGGGGTCCAGGAATTGAAACTGGGTCCTCTGGAAAAGCAGCCAGTTCTCTTAACTAATAAGGAGTGAAATAATTTAGAAATATAGAAAGACGAATTTTTGTAACATGAAGACATTTGTATATATAACAGGGCAGATACATGACTCCTCACGGGTTGTTTGGAGCAAATGAGGAGTTAATCAGCAATATCATTGTAGGTTCACGTCTTTCACGGTCACTTCAGAAGGGGCCACTAGCTCTGTGTCAACATTTTGTATTTACCCCTTGAAAAGAACAAGTGAATTTGAGCCTCTACGTATAAAACTTTTATTCTAAATGTATTTGAAATTTAACATTAGCTAGTAGTTTCAGTGGAGTTATGCAGGAAGAGGAAAAGCATTACATGACAGCGGTTGCAACAGTGCAGTTCCTCGAAGGCAGAGCGTGCTCATGCCATTCGGGGAGCCAGCCATGGCCCACTGGCTGCCACTGTTGCTTCAGGAAGATTGTGTGCTGAAAGGAACTGTGTAACAGAGCATAAAGGAAGCATGTCTTTCTATCATCTGGGCGGAGGGGTCTCTGTAGATTATTGTGCTTTAAGGTCACCGTGTTTCCAAGCACGAAGTCAGTGTCTATTGGGTTGGGAATTGATGCTTTGACCATCTCTCTTCACTGGACTTGACAGTGATAAATCCGGCCTCTCAAAGGATGCTTGCTGGTTACTGAGGAGGCAGAGCACAAATGGCGGAAGTTATGTTTGAATGGTTGAATGCAGTACATGCTAAACTAGTTTTTCCCATTCTGCTTAGGTTTTTAGAGCAAGGAATCTGTAGGTATGGTGCCCAGTGTACTTCAGCACATTCCCAGGAAGAGCTAGCAGAGTGGCAGAAAAGATATGCCTCACGGTTGATAAAGCTGAAGCAGCAAAATGAGAATAAACAGCTCTCAGGCAGCTACATGGAGACCTTGATAGAAAAGTGGATGAGCTCCCTGTCTCCTGAGAAAGTGGTAAGAGCCTCCTGACTACCTTGTGGTCTTGCTCTAAGCGCACTGGCTTCATCTTTGCTTTCTCATGCGCTAACCTGTAGATTATTTCTTTAATCCACTAAGGAACGTGTCCTTAGTAAACGAAGTTGGCCCGTTTGTTACAATGCAGGGCAGCTTCTACAGTAATGGCCTTCACTCAGGGAGGTTTTGCTTCTCAGCTTGCAGTAGTTAATTTTCTTTTCTATCTTGCTTAACTGCATCACATGTCGCGCTTGTCAGAATGACCGGAAGGTAGCGTGTGAAATCCTGTGGTCGACAAGTGCTGCGTCTGTGCTCATGGCTGACACTTTGCTGGGGTCTCACTTGTGTTTCCGTCCTCAGACGTAACAGGGATTGCTCTCTGCTTTCAGCTTAGCGAGTGCATAGAGGGGGTTCAGGTGGAGCACAACCCTGACCTGTCAGTCACTGTCAACACCAAAAAATCCCACCAGACGTGGACCTTCGCTCTGACCTGTAAGGTATGAAGCCTGTGCCAATTAAAGAAGACCGGTTTGGTTTGGTTTCTTGAAGCTTATTGAATCTCTAAATGTCTGTTAACAGAGTGTTGAAAATGTTTTACCCAATACACTTTATGTAGGTTCTGCATTGTGTCAAAGTGGGTTTCTATTTTTCAGTCATTAAATATACTTTTTTCCATTTTGAAGTAAGATCTGTTTAGCTATGTAGGACACTTTCTTAATTACTTGCTAAAGAATTTTGACATACATTACTTTCTAAACTTGGGACATAGGATGGGGTTCATGGCTTACAATTAACTACTTGATAATTTAATTATTTAATCTGGCAGTTCTAAGATTTTTTTTTTTTTCAGTGAAAACCAATTTTTATATTTTCATTTGATGAAGTCACAAATTCTGTAATTGTGTGTCTTTATTTCCTCTTTTTTTGGTGTTTCATGGGCCTTGCCCGTGCTAGCCACATGTTCTACCACTGAGCTATATCCCCAGCCCTGGAGAGGGATTTTCAACATGGGACATCTTCCGCAGGGCTTCTCATTTTAAATTATGATGGTCACAGTTTACGACTGGAGTACAGTTATCCATGTCAGTGAATACGTTCGGTGGAGAAGTTCTGAGTTCTTTTTGGTGGTATTTCTTCATGGGACCATCTGCACCTTGAGATGGAAAGTCTAAGAATGTTTAGCTTCAGCCCTGAACCCAATCCAGTGCTCTCAGGGGTGTCCTCCTGGGAAGCCTCCTGTGGGAGGCTCTGTGAACAGTTAGAGGCTGACTGACGGGGGCAGAATTTGCCACAGGGAAAGATGACTGTACACAGAAGGTCCAGGGAGGCTGAAGACGTAGCATACGTCTGTCATTTTAGAAACTTTGCTTTAACCATTCTGTTTTGTCTCTGTTTTTTTTTATTTTTTATTTTTTCCTTAAATAGCTTGTGAGCATAGTTTGTTGCGCAACATCATACCTTAGAAACATGGGGTGTAGCAGGCCCTTCTGGAAACATTTTCCTTGAAGAGCCCAGTTACAGCTGAATATCCACCCCCTTGTACTCAATGAATTATTTTAACTTCCTTGTAGCCTGCAAGAATGCTGTGTCGGGTGGCACTGCTTTATGACGCGCATCGCCCTCACTTTAGTATCATTGCCATATCTGCCGGAGATAGGACTACCCAGGTATCACAAGAAGTCCCCGAGAACTGTCAAGAATGGATAGGAGGAAAGATGGCCCAAAATGGATTAGATCATTACGTGTATAAAGTCGGGATAGCATTTAACACAGAAATATTTGGAACTTTTCGCCAAACCATTGTTTTCGACTTTGGATTGGAGCCAGTACTCATGCAAAGAGTAATGATTGATGCAGCTTCTACAGAAGGTAATATTTAGACTTTTTTCCCCCAATACACTGTATTAAAAGGCAAGCTTAACAGATATGTATTGACCCCTAAATATTGCACAGATAGGGAGGGAGTAAAAGGGGAAATCCCTGTGACGTTGACAGATGCAGTGTGTAATGACCACAAAATGGTCAGGTTGAACCTTGAGCTCTTTACTCAGTCAACAGGGAAATCTTGCCTTGAGGCCCCCTGAACTTAACTTATATGACTTGGTAATTCGGTTTATTTTGGTCTAGCAATTTCATGTTAAGGTAAGATGTTAGCACAGCCAAACCTTTCAGTACTTGTTCGACTAGAGTGCCTTTCTTCTGGTAATGAATGACCTATATACCTACAGTGTCTGTTTCCATTTCCTACTGACTGTTCAGTTGGCTTTGCTGATGTTAATACATTGTCAGTATCAGCCTTATGTCAGCATGTACCTTCGCTCCTGTTAAGGAGGGCAGGGTGTCTGAACAGGCTCTGTGTGGTCCTTTTCAGGTGTCCCTGGTTTCAGCACAGAAGCACTTTCTGGCTGCTGCAGCGGGTTTGATTTGTGTATTGTTGCTAGTGCCTGTACTGTAGGGAAAGGGCATGTTAGCCTGCACTTCTGTGGCTTGGTTGGATTATAGGTGCTTTAACTTACTTAACAAATGATTAAGGATTTTGTTAACAACACCATGCAGTGAACGATAGGAAATTTGCCACTCTGCTGACTGGAATCAACCATAAGGTGGAGGAGGCTTGTCTTCAAGTCCCATGCTGTCCCATTGCTCAGAACCTGGAGTAGTTTTCTTTTCATGAGCGGAGAGCAGGAGGCTGATGGTTTGGTGTGGTGACCAGGTGGTGGCATTGTTCTACCTTTCTCTTTGTTTTTGTTGTTGTTGTTTTTTTGTTTGTTTGTTTGCCCCTGTAAATTGAGGCTAACAGATTAATTTATTCATTAATTTTTTCCCCCCTAGGACAGGGTCTCACTAAGTAGCCCAGGCTGACCTTGAATTCACAAGTCTCCTGCCTCAGTGTCCTCCCACCCCTACGCCCCTTGCCCATTGGAATGACAAGTGTGTGTGGCCGTGCCTGGCCTTCACTGTAACATTTGTGCCAAGCTTTTGTGGCTAGATGATGTCTTCTTTGTGTGTGCTGATATAACCCAGACTTCATTTTATCTCATTTCTGCCTTGTTTGATTCCATTTATGTTTTATTTGGTTGTATGTAATTTTGTCATTTCCTCAGTATGAACAAAATAAATGTTAATTTCCATAGCTAAATAGATATGTCAGTAGGTAAAATACAAATAAAAGCACAGGGCATAACAAATTTTTTTATGAAAGAATAGATGGTAAATATTTTAGGTGTTGTGAGAAATCGGTCCTGGGCATGACTGCACTTTCAGCACTTCAGAACTGAGCTGGGTCAAAGTGTAGAAAGAGAAGAGAACAAACTCCTCTCTCTGGCATCCTAATGGAGCGTGTTTCAGAAGTGTCTGCAGATCAGTGGTCTATCATCCTGGCTTGTTTTCCCGTAAGAATACCTTTGCAAGTGTTAAAAATCCATACTAGTGGATGTTAAATGTCTGCAATAAAAAGGGAAAGGTTGCGGGTTGAGTGGATGATGAGCAGAAGTAATGAAGGTGACTTGAGGGTGCTCTGATGGGAAGGAAAGGGGCACTTTGACTGCTCTCAGTGCACTTTGCTTCGGGGAAAAAGAGCCCTGATGATGTCACACTGAGCTGGACATGAATCCTGGGTCTCTGCTGTCTCTGAGCTTGATGGGGAAGCATTTAGGGAATGGAGCAGTACCTGCCTCAGGAGTATGAGGGCCGGAAGTAAGCGGGCCATGTTCAGCTCATAGCAGGCGTTTGAAAGAGTTGTTCTTAGGCTAGTGAGATTGCTCAGCAGGTCAAGGCACTTGACATTAAGCAGGTTAATTTTGCATGTTATTTTATTGACTGGGAGAGGGGCACAAATGTGCCACAGAACATGTGTGGAGATCAGAGGAATTTTAGAGTCAGTTTTCTCCTATCATGTGATTCCAGGGCTCAAACTCAAGACTGTCAGGCTTGGTGGCAGGGCCTTTATCAACTGCGGCTTTATCCGCTGCGCTGTCCTGCCTACCCCCTTGCTCTACCTTTGGCAATTTTCTTCTTCTTCTTCTTCTTCTTCTTCTTCTTCTTCTTCTTCTTCTTCGTCTCTTCTCCTCCTCTCCCTCTCCCTCTCCTCTCCTCTCTCTCTTTTTTAAAATTTATTATTTAATTTTATGTGCATTAGTGTGAAGCTGTCAGATCCCTTAGAATTGGGAGGTATAGACAGTTGTGAGCTGCCATGTGGGTGCTGGGAATTGGACCCAGGTCCTTTGGAAGAACAGATGGTGCTCTTAACCACTGAGCCATCACTCCAGCCCCTCTTCTCTCTTTTTCATTTGTGTGTGCTCACATGCGCCATGGGTATGAGGGTGCTTTTCAGAGGTCTGAAGTGGACATTGTTTGGGAGCTGAGTCACAGGCAACTGTGAGCTGTTCATTGTGGTGCTGGGAACTGAACCTGGGCTCTTTGGAAGATGGCTTTTAACTACTGAGCCATCTCTCCAACCCTGCTTGTTTTTTTTTTTTTTTTTTCCTCCTCCTCCTCTTTCTCCCCCACCCTTTTTCTCTCTTTTCTGATGCATGTTCTCACTGTGTAGTCCTGGCTGTCCTGGAACTCACTCATAAAGATCCTCCTGCCTCTGCCTCCTGAGTGCTAGGATTAAAGGTGTATATCACTACACCCAGTTTAGATTTGCTATTCTTAAAATCGATATCATCAAGTATCTTACTCCTTTGTCCCGGTGTTTTTGACAGTATAGAGGTACTTGCTTCCATGGGGTGTGAGTCCCGATAGCCTTCCTGAGTAACAGAAGCAGGGCAGTCATATTATAAAACTGGTTTATTGTTTCAGTGGCTTTTACATTTTTTAAAATTATTTTTATCTTATTTTGTTTTTGTGTATGAATATTTTGCCTGCATGCCTATCTGTGCTGCCTATCTGGGGACAGCATGCCTATCTGGGCACGTATCGCTGGTGCCCACAGAGGCCAAGAGAAGATATTGGATTTTCTAGTTATGTGCTGCTGTACAGGTGCTGGGAATTGACCCAAGCCCTCTGGAAGAACAGCCAGTGCTCTTAATTGCTTTGATACCTTTCCAGCTTCTTAATTTTTTTAACAGTCAGCATTTTTTACTATTATCACAGAGTCCTGGCTCCCCTACCCCCACAGGGTTTCTCTGTGTAGCCTTGGTTATCCTGGACTAGCTTTGTAGACCAGGCTGGCCTCAGATTCATAGGCCTGCCTTTGCCTCCCTGAGGGCTGGGATTACAGGTGTGTGCCACTTCTCCTGGCTTAGCACAGAGGTTTTTGTCAGCAAAGAATTTGAGGGCTAAAACTTGTTGAAGTACAGCTACCGTTCTGTACACTACTCTTAGCTGCTAGAAATGAAATATCAGTCTTGTATTTTCTGTCCTTCCCTGGAATGCTTGTGTGGACAACATCCAGAAACACAAGAACAAGACAATTGCCTTGCGGAGTTGGTAGCAGGGTGACAGCCTGGTCCTTTTTACTTCATGCTCAGCCTATTCATCATTGGGACAATAATGAAAAAAGTGTCGCATGTACAGATCTGAGAATGTATCCGAATCAGGTCTGGGTTTTGTCTTGTTTTCGATATATTTTAAATTAAAATATAATTTGACTTTACATGCAAATAGATTTATTTAGTGATGAAGGAAAATGGAATTTGAATGGGAAATGTCTGTCGTTACTGCTTGCCCTAGCCACTTGATTGGCGATTTGTTGGTGTCTTCATAAGGGTTTATATTTTTGTGGTAACATACCAAGACTAAAAGCAGCTTGGAGAGGAAGGGTTTATCTCATATTGCAGCTTGAAGTCCATCATCCAGAGGAATAAAGGCAGACACTCAAGGCAGGAACTTGATGACAGGAACGGATACGGAGGCCATTGGTGTTTGCTCAGTTTTTTCAGTTCCCACAAAACAGCCCACTGAGCTCTGAGCACTCATTGGATTTTCCAGCCCAAAGTCCTTCTACAATCCTCCTCAAAACCTGGTCAAGTCTATCACAGCAATACTCTACTCTTGATACAATTTCTAGCTGAGGTTGCTCTCGCTGTATAAGCACCATGACCAAAAGCGGCTTGGGAGGAAAGGGTTTATGTCTCTTATACTTCTAATTCACAGTTCATCATTGAAGGCAGTCGGTGAGAGGAACTCACACAGGGCAGGAACCTAGAGACGAGCTGGTGAACAGGTCATGGAGGAGTGCTGCTTACTGTCCTGGTCTCTGTGGCGTGCTCAGTCTGCTTTCTTATAGAAACCAGGTCTGCCAATGTGTGTGTGTTTGTGTGTGTGTTGTTTAGCACCCACAATGGGCTGGGCCCTCCCACACCAATCCCTAATAAAGACAATGTGCAACAGACTTAGCTACAGGCCAAAGCATGGAGGCATTTTCTCACTGAGAATTCCTCTTCCCAAATGACTCTAGTTTGCATCAAGTTGACATAAAACTAGCCAGCACAACCGAAGAGCAAGCTTTGTACTGTCTATGTTTCTTCCATAAAGTTACACATTTGGCTCTACTGGGCCATCTTTTAGCTCATGCTTCTTACACGACATTCCATTGATGTTACTAGCGGCTCCTATGGTAAGGAATGCTGCCCACTCTCTCCCTCAGTCCTAGTGTGCCTCAGCCACCAAAGGCTGTGCCCTTCAGACTAACCGAGAACAGTATTTCATTGCATTAGAGTGACTCAGGGAGACTCACAGTTGAGTTACATGACAGATGACATTTTCCTATTTCATTTTTCATTGTTGAACTAAACCCTTCCTTAGTTAATTTAGCTATTGATGAATGAAAACACAGCTCCACAGATTCACCCGCCACTGTTGTTATTATCTGCAGTGTCCAAAGCCTTTTTACTTATGTACCAAGAGGGGATTAGGGATTTTTTTCCTCCTGCAGTTAACCCCCTGTGTATAGTCTACTTTAATTTTTATTAAATGTATTTACAGCTTCTGCATATTTGCTACATCTCAGGGTAGCGAGTTCTGAGGTTCCTGTCAGCTTCACTTGGAGATTATTGTTATAGGGTTGGTTAATAAGAGTGCTGATAAGCACTGCTAACGTGCAGTGTTAAACTCTGTGAATGTTGGTTCAGACTTGTTTTTGTCTTTCCAGAGTGTGATTGGTTTTAGGCTGGTGTAGGTTGAGGGCATCATGGCATGGATGTGCTGGCTCAGCAGTCCTGAGCACTACCCAAGTCTGGTGATAGCAGGTTAGGGGAGCTGCAGCTGGAGATGACAGTGAGCACACCTGTAGGAGCAGCTGTGTTCAGTGTCCCAGGGGGGTGGGGGAGGGGGACTTTACCTTCTCCCTAAGTGGCACTCAAAAGCTAATGACCTTTAAGCACTATAAATTAAGGGGGTCATTATACAGTTCAACAGATTCTTTTTCAGATGAAGAGGAATGGAGCTGGGGGGGGGGGTGGTTCACCCCTGTAATCCCAGTAGTCAAGAGGCTGAGGCAGAGGAATGACTGCAAGTTCCAGGCCATATAGCTATAGAGGACAGTTCTCTCTAAAACAACCCCTCCTCCCAAAAAAGACCACTTTAAAAAACAAGGGAAAGAAAACAAACAAAAAGCCATAAGAGGAATGAAGAGCAGAGGTAGAAGCCAGATTCAGTTTCCCATGAGAATTAGGAGCCGCCAGCCGTTCACGCACGATCTTTTGAGGCTGGCACACTGGGCTGTTTTCAGCTCTTCTCTTTCTGGCCACAGCTTTCCCTGCCCCTTCACAGTCATTAACAGAGTGGGTGTGGTGGCCCAGAACCTAATCTCAGTACTTGGGAGGCTGAGGCTGAGAAGAATCATGTGTTCTAGGGTAGCCTGGGCTACATACTGAGATTTCCACCCCCTTGCCCCAACAAAAGAAATGGGATAAAAATTAACATTGCTTGAAAATTTTGTGGTGTGACTTGCACTAATCATTTCCCAAAACTGAAGCGTGAATTATGGCACTATCTACATAAAATGTCAAAAATGCTGCTGCTATACCACATCCCCAACATGTGACTACTTCTAGTAAAAAACAGATAATTTGTGTAGATTTTAACATGAGACCAGCAGTGCCCTCAGGAGACTGTTTTAAGTCTATTATTGTCCGAACACTTTAAGGGACACAGGAATAGTCCATGACTTTTAAGTGGAATGAGAATGTGTTGCTTTTAGTCTGAATTCACTTAAATAAAACTGTAGAATGTAATTATGAAATGTAAGTTTCCCACCTTATAATAGAAGTTGGACATCCTTCTATATACTCTCTTTTTTTTCTTTTTTTTTTTTTTTTAAATAAAGGGACTTATTTTATAGCCCTGTCTAGCCTGGATGTTGCTATATCTACCAAGGTGGCCTTGAACTCACAGAAATTTGCTTGGCTTTTAAATGCTAAGATTAAAGGTGTTTGCTACCAGGCTTGATCCAGGGCAGATTATTTTTTTACTTAAATTTATTTACTTACTTATTTGTGTGTGTGTGTGTGTGTGTGTGTGTGTGTGTGTGTGTGTATGTGTATGTGTATGTGTGTATGCCATATGTCTTGGTACCTATGGATATCAGAAGGGGATGTCCGTCCCATGGAGCTGGAGTCATGGGTGGCTATGAGCTTTCTGTCATAGGTTCTAGAAGTTATACTCTGGTCCTTGGAAAAGAGCAGTAAGTGCTCTTAATTGCTGAGCTATCTCTTCAGCCTCCAGAGTGGTTTGAAGTATATTTTTAATTTTTTTCTTTATTACTATTACTTATTATTTAGTCCCTTTGTATCCCAGCTGTAGCCCCCTCCCTCATATCCTCCCGGTCCCACTCTCCCTCCCTCTTCTCCCCCATGTCCCTCCCCGAGTCCACTGATAGGGGAGGTCCTCCTCCCTATTAAACCTAGCCTTTCAGGTTTCATCAGGACTCTCTGGATCCTCTTTCTCTGTGGCCCAGTAAGGCCACCTTACCAGGGGGACATGGTCAAAGAGCAGACAACGGAGTTGATGCCAGTGACTGCCCTTCTCCCCTTAGTAGGGAACCCATATGGAGACGAAGCTACCCATGGGCTACATCTGAGCAAGGGTCTATTTTTAGTGGCAGCTAATCTTTACTATTGTGACAATTGTGCTTACCATCTGAGAAATAACAACCTCTTAGAAAACGGCTTGTACAAGGATCAAATGTTAGAGATGAGGGCTTTTCTATATTTTTAATCGAGGTGTTAGAATATCTGCTGCTGTTGTGAAGTCCTTGTGAGTGACTGTTCGTAAGGCCTGTGTGATATCTAGAAGTTGCAGCGTCAGAGCTTGGGGAATAGTTCAGTGGTAGAATATGTTGGGCTTTGGGTTTGACCTCCAGAACTGCAGAGTAACCAATAAATAAACAAACTTGCCAAAGCACTAACTGAACGAGAGGTTGCAGTCACACTTGTTCTAATTCAGAGCTCGCTTAATGTGGCTTTTCCTGGCTCTCTCTGAAGCAGGAAAGTCTTTCCCCTTATGGTAAAGCTGAATCTTGGCCGAGAGGTCCAGTTAAACAGCTTTCTACCTTTTGGCCCAGTCTCGCTCTTCTAGAGCAGTCATGGTCCACCCAGTAAGTCTCATGGTGGGTGGCTTTCATTCTTGCTGGTTTATGCTGCATCTTTTTCAAAGATGCCAGAGCCTGACAGTTCCTGATTTTGACATTGTACCCTGCTTACAGTATGATTTTGCTGCGTTTACCAGGGACTTTTGAGAAGTGGCATTCAAGCGACTTCCTGTCACATGTTTCATGGAGTCAGCAGTGTTGTACACCCGTGCCCTCTAACAGATTGACGCTGGTAGCAAGGTGGCGTTCAGACAGTCTCTCTGCGCTTTGTCACACAAGCAAAGACCAGAACTTCAAGACTTTTGTTCTTCTCTTTGTTTATGGGGCAGGTACTTGTAGGGTGAGGAAGAAAGTGACTGTCATCCATCACTTGCTGCATTTTATCATACAAGGAATTTTGTCAGGTCTTTCTCCTGCGGATCAGGTTTCTCTTGACTGAAGAGTTAAGTTCGGAACGTTTCCCCAAAATAACTATCTGTGGCATGACCTAGCCTAGAAGATACAGGTTTCCTTACAATGTTACTTTGTTAAAATGATCAAAACTATGTCTGGCATGGGGAAAGTACTCTCAATGAGTTTTGTGTTGTTTATTTTTAAGAATTTTATCTCTAGTATATAAAGTTCTGTTACACAGATGAGTAGTTACACATGTGAGAGTTTAATGTCATGTTCCTTTGTAAATGTGCTTCCTGTTTTCGTGTAGACCTTGAATACCTGATGCACGCAAAGCAGCAGCTGGTGACCACAGCCAAGCGCTGGGATTCTTCTTCTAAGACTATTGTAGATTTTGAACCCAATGAAACTACTGATTTGGAGAAGAGCCTTCTGAGCAGATACCAAATTCCTCTCTCTGCCGACCAGCTGTTTACACAGTCCGTTCTAGACAAATCATTGACCAAGACAAACTATCAGTCACGGCTGCACGACCTGCTTTATATTGAGGAGATAGCCCAGTATAAAGAAGTCAGCAGGTAAGTTCCAGGAGAGCCTCCCCCTCCCCACATCCTCCCCACCCTTTCCTCCTCTCCAGCCCTCCACTCCTCTTTTCCTTTCTCTCCCTTTACAGTAACCTTTTTTTTTCTTTTAACTTTACAGTGGAGATGTGCTTAACAGAAGATGACCATTAAAATGTTTTTTTTTTTCCTTTACTAGCTGAATTTTTTTATTTAACTAGTTAATTAATTTAGAAACAGGGTTTTGCTGTGAAGTCCTGGCTGGCCTAGGACTTACTGTATAGGCCAGACTGGACTTGAACTCTCAGTAGTCCTGGTTCTGCCTCCTAAATGTTAGGGTTACAGGCATGAGCCAGCACCCCTGGCGCTCTGTATTCTATCTTTAATGGAAGTGCAAATAAGAATTGTGTTTAGTATGTGGGGTTCTTTCTCAAAAGACCTTACTATGTGTCTACTCTGGGACCAGTTCTCTCTTTTGGTAGAACTGGTCCCTGCTTTTGAGATGCTTCTAAGTGAGTGCAGGCCATAGCAAGCCCTTAACGACTACTTGTTGAATAAATGTACAAAAATGGAAGTAAGCCACATATTTTAAAAGTTCTTTGAAGAATGAAATGTTTTAAAGGAAAATAATTTGATAATGAATTGCTTTATAGCAATTTATAAGTGCTCTGTCTTCTTATATTTTAGCCACACCTATATACCAAGGGCTGAAAGCAAAACACTATGGATCAAAGTAAGAGAAGTAGTCTTATACAAAAGTGTGAGTGAGTGAAAGTATTAATAAGGCTGTGGTTATTTTGAGAGTAGTTTTTTACTGTTTAGGTGAAATAGGATGAATCTTCAAAATTGAACTTCAGTGAGACATGATTACATTTTTGTAACAATTTTTTCTTTTAAATATAGTCTAGCCTCCTATGTGGCCTGGCAAGGCTGCTCCCCCTTCAGGGGGAAGTGATCAAAGAGCCAGCCACTGAGTTCATGTCAGAGACAGTCCCTGTTCCCCTTATTAGGGTACCCACTTGAATCTGAGCTGCCATGGGCTACATTTGAGCAGGGGTTCTAGGTTATATCCCAGAATGGTCCTTGGTTGGAGTATCAGTCTCAGAAAAGACCCCTGTGCCCAGATTTTTTTGGTTCTGTTGCTCTCCTTATGGAGCTCCTATCCCCTTCAGGTCTTACTATCTCCTCTTCCTTTCATAAGATTCCCTGCACTCTGCCCAAAGTTTGGTTATGAGTCTTAGCATCTGCCTTGATATCCTGCTGGGTAAAGTCTTTCAGAGGCTCTCTGTGTTAGGCTCCTGTCCTGTTCCCTCTTTTCTCCTTTTTCCAATGTCCATCTGATTTGTCTTTTGAGTGAGGATTGATTATCTTACCCAGGGTCCTCCTCCTTGCTTAGCTTCATTAGGTGTACAGATTTTAGTATATTTATCCTATATTATATGTCTAACCTCCACTTATAAGTGAGAATATTCCATGTGTGTCTTTCTGCTTCGGGGATACCTCACTCAGGATGATCTTTTCTAGATCCCTCCATTTGCCTGCAAATTTCATGATTTCCTTATTTTTAATTGCTGAGTAGTATTCATTGTGTAAATGTACCACAATTTCTGTATCCATTCCTCAGTTGAGGGACATCTGGGTTGTTTCCAGGTTCTGACTATTATAAATAAAGCTGCTATGAACGTGGTTGAAGAAATGTCCTTATTGTGTACTTGAGCATCTTTTGATTATATACCTAGGAGTGGTATAGTTGGATCTTGAGAAAACATTATTCCTAATTGCCTGAAAAAGCACCAGAATGATTTCCAAAGTGGTTGTACAAGTTTACATTCCCACCAGCAATGAAGGAGGGTTCCCCTTTCTTCCTGATAAGGCCTGATAGGCTAGGTTTGATGGAAGGGGAGGAGGACCTCCCCTATCAGTGGACTTGGAGAGGGGCATGGGAGGAGATGAGGGAGGATGGGATTTGGATGGAATGAGAGAGGGAGCTACAGCTGGGATACAAAGTGAATAAACTAGAATATAAAAAAGAAAAATTAAAAATAGTCTAGCTAATATATCTTTCCTTCAAACTGCGTTATCACTAATAATAGATTTTGAAATTTTCATCCAAAAAAGAAAAAGTAAATGAACACTTAAAAGTATATTGAGCCCCTCTATTTGTAGGTTAAATGGAATATAACCTTTCCAAATATTTTCAGTATTCTGGGACTATGTCTGGGTCCTTTTGGGTTATCCTGTTTTCTCTCTTTTGGAGTCTCGCTGTGTAGCATAGGCTGATATTGAACTTGTCACCCTCCCCCTTTTCCTCTTGAATGCTCATATGTGATGGCCCCTTTATATAAATCTTTTTTTTTTTTGGAAGATTTTACTGTGTGTGTGTGTGTGTGCGCGCGCGTGTAGAGTGCGGACTCCCGCGTGCCCAAGTGCACATGTGGTGTTCGAGGACAGTCTTCAGGACTCGGGTCTATCCTTTGAGCTGGATTATGAGGCGGGGTTGCTCTTGTTTGGCTGCCACACTATATTGTGAGCTTATGGCCAGTTCTCCTGCCTTCATTCCTACTGAGATCCCAGGTGTGAGTACTGCATTGGGCTCTTGTGTGGGTTCTAAGGCTTGAACTCAGGTCCTGCAGCCAGCACGTTCACCTGCTGAGCTGTCTCCTCAATCTCCCATTTATGTAAATCATTGAAGGCTTGTATTGACTATGACTGTAGTCTGTTCTGAAGAAATTTATTAACACATGAATGTGCATGTGTGTTGCTCCCATTACTGAAGGAACCCTATGTGGATATTGCAGTGATTAGAACTTCCCTGCCCTGGTGGCGCATATTCTTAATCCCAGCATTTGGCACTTGAGATGCAGAGGCAGGTGGAGTTCAGTGAATGCAGGCCAGTCAGGGCTACACAGTAAGAGCCTGTGTCAAAACAAAAACAAAGCACATCTTCCCAGAGAGTTGGGCCTAGTGTCACACATCTGTAATCCCAGCATGCAGGAAGCAAAGGCAAGAGGATCATGAGTTCGAGGCCAGCTTGGGGCCGCCCAGCAGTTCTGAACCAGCCTGAGCTACAGAGCGAGGCTCTGTTTATAAAAGCTTGCAATGTGCAGGCTAAGCAAAGCACACCTCATCTCATTGAACTTACGGGAGGCTTTCAGGTGCTTCAGGGCTTGTTTCCTCCTTAGAAACAAAACAAACGTAGGCCAGAGTTGATGTGCATTAAGTGATCTTACTTTGGAAAAAGTATGTTCAATTCTGAGAGAGATATTTTTAGAAACTTTAGGGCTGGAGAGGACCCCAGTTCTGTTCCTGGAACCCACATCAGGTGGCTCGCAGCTGCCTTCAACTCCAGCTTCAGAGGATCCAGCACTTTGGCCTCTAGGAGCACTTGACACAGGCATTTTGTCCTCCACATACACATAATTAAAAACAATAAAAATAAGTCTACAAAAGACAGACATTACTGGAAGCTGTGGTTTCCATTCAGCTTGCAGTGGCCAAGCTCCTCGGTGCACAGCCTGCGGGCCTGGAGTGAGATGTGGGGCGTGTGTCACACCCCAGCCTCGCTTCTCCCACTGCATCAGTAGACCAGGCCTTCCCATATTTTGGAGCTGATTCTTGTTCATGTCATTGGAAAAAAATCTCGTGACACCAGACTTTCTGTATAGCTCTGGTATTTGAAAATTAAAATTCCACCTCAGGGATAGTGACCTAACAAATGGCGTTGGTACAGTCACATTTCTTAGGAGCCACACAAGCGCTTTTACAACAATTGCAAAATCCACTGGCTGTTATTCTGCCTCCCGGGAAGGCTGAGATTACATAGGCTTTAAGATTGATTGAAAACGTGGTGTGCTGCCTGACGTGGGCACAGGTCGTCTGGAAGAGCCCTTAACTGTTGAGCTAACTCTCAAGCTCTGGGCTGTCAGATGCTATTATTTTAATACCTCAGAGAGGCTGTGAGCGGGATTTTAGTTTGCATGCTAGCCTTTTAGGAAGATGAGCTATAAAAGTAATGCTTTCTAGTAGAAAGTCTGAATCTGCATTCTCAGCATGCAGTGAGTCTTCTGCAGGAAAATGACTGCCTCTTGGGGTGTTTGTTTATTTTCTAGTGCAACACGACACATAGTGTGTCTCACAAGAAAATTCTCTTGCTGAGGTAAGGCTATGGGCTTTAGTTATGGTCAAGTTATGGATGATAGGTTGAAATCTAAATGTAGCAGTAAAATTTGAATATGTTGCCTAAGATGGCTGAGAAATGATTTACAGAATTTTAAGAATTTGTTAGGGAATAAAGTGGTTGAAATGACAATTTAGTGTCTGATGATAAGAGAGTAGACTAGAGGTAGGAAGCCACATTCACAGGTGATTACAGTAATCCAGGTTAAAAATGTTGAGTTACAAATGACTGATGCCGTGGTATTTAAGCCGTGTCCTGAGAAAGCAGGACTGTATGGTGGTCAATGCAGTTAGTGAGAGAGGCACCGTCAGCACAGCTCAGCTTGGACACATAACTGAGTGCTGGAGCCTTTTTGCCTAATGCATGGAAGCGCCGGTTTGGAGACACATTGGAGAGTTCAAAGGTTATTTGGTGTTACATGTGTGGGCATAGAGAATGCAGAGAAAAAGGCATCCATTAGAGAGTAAGGTGAGGGCGCACTGGGGCTTTGAGGAGGCAGCTGATTCTGGATGGAAATGGAGGATTAGACAGGTGGCCCAAAGTCCATGGGCCTGTAAGGAAGAGGGAGTTTAGAGAGGAGGGTGGCTGCAAGGCAGGAGAGAGACAGTTTGAAGCCTGGGTCTCACCGTTAGCAACAGAGAGGTCCTGACAGTGTGAGAGGCGGTGCAGTCTCCAGCTCTGCGTGACTTTTAGTGACCCAGGTCCCTTTCACTGTATGCAGCAGGCTGCTTGTGAAGCTTTATCTCAAGACTCACCCACAACACAGGATTCTATGTGAATCTTTATTTCCTTCCTTCCTGCCTCTGCCTCCCAAGAGCTGGGACTGCAGGCGTGTGCCACCATGCCCTGCTGTGACGGTTTCTAACTGTGTAGATTAGTCTTGATTCTGTGTGACTCCTTCAGGCCCACATTCAGATTCATATGCCCACATGGGTGCATAGGTGTCCTGATGGTTGTCTCCTACGATAGGCCGATTTCTCTTTTTCATAATTCCTGCATGAGAGTCACTGCCTTGTAATAACAGACAAACTTTTATTCTAGTTGTTATTTGTTGAAAGTGAAATGTTATGCTCCGATTTTTTGGTAAGATTCACCTGGCAAGCACTCCGCTGAAAGTTCACTGTAGTTTTAGCGCGGCGCCCTTCCTAGGGTAGGTGATTTTAAAGTCTTAATTTTCACAACCATGTTTACAGTTTTTTCTATCCTCTTAATGTGTTCCACTTTATTGTGAATCACCTATAGTTTACTCAGGCTTCCAAGAATTAGTTGTTTGTGCTTGTGCATGAGTGTGTGTCTGAGAGGCAGGGATCACTTATAGTGGTTAGAGGACAGCTTTCAGGGTCATTTCCCTACTTCCACCACATGGTTCTGGAATCGAACTCAGATTATCAGGCTTGGCAGCAGTCACCTTTACCCACTGAGCGCTATCACTGGCCACATACAGACCTTTAAAAATGCATATTCTTCAATACAGCTAAGTATGCTTATGTAACTTCAGCCTGGATTCAAGGCAGAAAGATGATTGTAGGTAGAGTTGGTAACTCGTACAGTGGAATTGGTACGAAGTTTTACATTTCCACATGTTTACATTTGAACATCTTTGTTGTATTTTCCTCTGGTTTTATATGTTTCTTATGGTTTTGATGAGAAATACTCAAACTATTTTCTGCTTTTGATTTAGGTTCAACCTTAAAGTGCAATTGCAGATTTTAGCAAGCTTCATGCTCACTGGAGTTTCTGGGGGTGCAAAGTATGCTCAGAATGGACAACTTTTTGGTCGTTTTAAGCTTACTGAAACCCTTTCTGAAGACACTTTGGCTGGACGACTGGTGATGACCAAAGTCAATGCTGTTTATTTATTACCAGTCCCTAAAGAGAAACTAGTACAGACGCAGGGAACCAAAGAGAAGGTTTATGAAGCTACTATTGAAGAAAAAACAAAAGATTATATATTTTTAAGGATATCCAGGGAATGCTGTGAAGAGCTTAATCTGCGGCCTGACTGTGACACACAGGTACGTTTGCAGGCAGTACCTTCCCGGGGAGTGTTGTCACCCCATGGCTGCTGTCGCCTGCTGCTTGTTCTCCCTCCATTCAACCGGAAGTGCACATGACTTTGAAGTCTTGTCCTGGCTGGTTAGAACTACAGCGTTGGTCACCTTTTGAATTGAAGGAACATGTGTTATATTCCAGTCTTGCACAAGCTCTAGACTATGACATCAGCAGCTCAAGAGCAGGTTTTTTTGAAACCTGCATCCAAGGCGACAAAATCACCATTGTGCCTGCTTCCCTTTTCTTTGCATTCGTGGTGTTTAGGTGAAGCCTGTGCTCAGTTTGCCACATTTAACTGGAAGCTAGTCTGTCTTTTTAAACTATGAAGTGTAGTGACCGTTACTCGTAACCAGTCTGTGCAGTGTTGTAGGGCGGATCAGCACTCAGCATGTGCTATTACATGGTATTACACACGTTCTGATGTTAACATGCATTCTTCATGGCCGTGGTGGACTCAGATAGCCATTACCTGATGTCGTTGAGGTTTCAGTCCTGTGTAAAATGAGGTTAATTAATAATAGCATGTATACTGTTAGTATGACCATGCAAGGTCACCCTTGGCAGCTGTTCATTACAGTACCCAACATATGCAGCCAGTATTTTCCATACCAATTACTGTTAGGATATCACCATAGTTTGAAACAAACCCTAAATTTGTCTTGCAAACTGTTGTCTTCTGGAGTATTTTAGTGCCCTGCCAATATTGATGTTGGTGTAAAAGCTCTTTTTAAAAATGTTCATTTTGTATTTCAGGTTGAGCTTCAGTTTCAATTGAACCGATTACCCCTCTGTGAAATGCATTATGCACTAGACAGAATTAAGGACAATGGTGTCTTGTTTCCAGATATCAGTATGACTCCTACCATACCTTGGAGTCCCAACAGGTATGAAAAGAGACTGCTTAGAAAAAGCAGGTGTTAATATTAAATTGAATGCCTGTGTCAGTTCAAGCGTACTTTATTGATTGTCTGTTCTCCCCCCTCGTCCCCCTCTACCCCGCCTCCCCTCTTTAAGACAGTAAGTAGCCAGGCTGGACTCAGTCTTATTTTGTAGCTCAACATGACCTTGAGCTTGTGGCAGTCCTCCTGCCTTAGGCTCTCCCATGCTGGGTTTGCAGATGTAAGCCAGTCCACTGAGCTCAAGCACACTTTTGTTGGGAAGTTTGCCTGTGTTCGTCAGGAGATGAATGAAACATTTGGCATTTAGACTGCAAATTAGTTCTGTGGCTCCTCTCAATTTAGTGGAAACACTGAGCAGTTTGGGGATATTTATGAGCTGAATTTGAACGTGACAATCATGACCTTTTCATGGCGGTTCACATATATAAAGTAACTTGGGTATATAGGGTTATTGTGAGTTAGCAAAGTGGAGGGACTGGGTAGATGACGCTTCTTCAGAACTTGCTGTGGCTCTGCTTAACTCTGTCACCTACACCTGCCATTAAACAAGGTCCTGCTGGCTTGTCCCAAGAATGTGTAGCTATGTGAGCATTCTGTTCATCTTTGTCCCTGGCTACTGTCCCACCAACCCCTGCCTTCCTAGCTCACTTGACCTTAAAATAATATCTGAGTGGCTTTACACAATAAAGGCACAGCCGGGTGGCCTCCTGGCAGAGTGGTGGCCCTGCTCCCTACTGATGGAGGTCCTGGCATCTTCGGTGATTGATTTCCTGCATGTAGAGAGTGAGCACAGAGGTCCAGGTGGGGCGTTATTATGGATCAGGTCTCGAAGTGGCACAAGTCCGCTCCACAGTTCATTGCTTCCAGTCCTAAAAACAGAACAAAATGTGATATGCCTTCCAGCACAAGCCTGCTGCCACTGCCTCACCCCGCTTCTTTTTATTGCCACAGTTCTCAGCAGACACGAGTCTGCAAGTCTCCAGCATGCTTTATTCACTGGGCTGTGGGGCTCACTGTCCTCAAAGTAGCTGTGATCTGATTATAGAAACCCGGGACGTCCCAGCTCTCACTTGGTTCATCTTCTTTGCATCCATCTCTTTCTTTCCATTCTTATAACTGCTGCTTAAGATAAGCCTGGACTATTTCCGTGGCATTCTGTTGATCTTCCATCATGCCTTCTGTTGTCTGGTCCAACCCAAATACTTCTTCCAAAGTCAATTTTCTAAAATAACCATGACATTTCATCATGTGCAGATCTCTGGATAAAGTCTGGACTCGGTACTGAGCTCTGTCATAGGGTCTCACTGACCGCCTTCCAACATTGTCGTCCTCCTTTCTCCGACCCCATGCTCCAGCTGCACTCAGTTGCCTTGACATTCATTTATGCCCTCCTGATTTACTTGCTTCCTTTTGTTTCTGTTACTCCTTTAAAAAAGTTTAAACAGTATGGTAAAATCCGTGCCACACAGAATCCACTATCATTAGCCATTTTAAGAGTCTATAGTCATCCATGTGCCATGGTGTACAACTACAGTCCCAGCACTCAGGGAGGCAGAGGCAAGTGGATATCTGTGAGTTCAAGGCCAGCCTTGTCTACAAATGCGAGTCTAGGACAGCCAGGGCCACACAGAGAAACCCTGTCTCAAAAAAAAAAACAAAAACAGAACAAAACAAAACAGAGTTTATGGTTTATTAGCTTTAAATAGATTGTCAGACCTTTTCAAGTGTGACCTCATATTGTGAGTTCATTGTCTGACTCTCTACCTCCTTAGGTTTGCATGATTTTCCCTGCCAAACAGTCTTTGCAGAGGATCAGCTCTTCGAAGATCCTTTGGTCCTATAGCTTCATATCCAGCTTCAGTGCCCACTCTTCAAGCGGATGAGCGGCTGCTTCTGTTTCATTTTTTAGCACATATTTCCTGAGTCCATGCTGTTGGCAGTTCTGTGCTTTCCAGCACGATTTTTCTCTGGATTCCTTTTTGTCAGTTGTGTACACTTTTCTTGTCAAGCATGAGACCAGGTCTTCCTTATTTTGAATATCAAGAGGGTATTGTACATTGAAGTTAATATTAATTTTAAATTTAAAGGGGAAGATTAGTTTCAGATGTGAAGTACCCTAGTAAAGCTTTTGCCAGTGTGACTTGATTTGCTCATTGTATCTAACAGTAGTGACTGTTAACTGCAAAAGTGCCAAGAAACTGTCATGCAAAAGAATGCTTTCAAGCAGGACCATTGCAGTGTGAAGAGTGGTGGAAGGCCCAGTGTCTGTGGCCACGGAGAAACCTGCAGCCATTTAAACTCTCTTAGTGGAGTCACAGGGAGCGTAGCTCAGCCATTAAGCTGAGAAACTGTTCTTGAGCGTGTAGCCCATAGCTAATAGCAGGAATGTATTGGGCCAGAACAGAGCAGGCTTTGAATGAACTTGGTACTGGGGATAAAATAATCTTTATTCCATTAAAAAAACATTGCTGGGCTGTGTTATTGCACACCTTTAATTCCAGCACTTGGGAGGCAGAGGCAGCCCGATCTCTTGAGTTCAAGGCCAGCCTGATCTACAGAGTGAATTCCGGGACAGCTAGGGCTATATGGAGAAACCCTGTTTAGGGAAAACCAAACCAAAACAAAAGAAAAAACCCAGAACAACAACGAAACCATTTTTTTTTTTAAAACTGAGATTAAGCTTGGACAGACTTTATATTTTCAACTGTAGAAAAGATGATTTGTAGCATACATGTTTAAGTCTCTCTTACTAAATGGTGGCACAATAATGATAGTTTGTTTTCATCTTTTGCTTTTTCTACGTATTCATTATTCATTGTCAGATATTACAGAGGTGACTGACACTGGTATCTCTGACATGCTGAGAGGCTCTCATGTACACTGAAACAGTTGATAAGCAGAACAGGTTCCATAATTAAATATGGACAATTTACAGAATTGATTCTGTAAGCTTGTTGATCTCTTAGCTTTGTAGTTACTGTACAGAGTCTTACATCTACAGCATTCTGTACCTCATCCATGTACCCAGACAGGAATGACTAGTTCGTCTCGTTTCATTTTTAAATGTATATTATTCAGGTAATGTCTTTCTAAAATCATCAGAAAATATGGATATAGAAGCTAACTTGTATTGAACTTTTGTTGCTCACTTATATTTCCAAATAGATCTAGAGTGATGTTTTAGTTCATCTGGCTTTAAGACAGCCATCTAATGCCAGTGTCTGTAAGTCTGTAGACAGATGAAGGTGTGTGGGAGGCCGGGATCTTGGAACTGCTGGGGTCACGTGTGGGTGTGTGAAACAGTTTTCTGAGCTGACCTGCTGGCGTAAGTTGAGTTATAGAAGCCCAGAGGCAGGTAACCCAGGGCTGGGGCAAGGGCTAGGAGTGTTATCACAGTCCATACCTTCTTTCCTGGCTCAACAACCTGCTGGGTTTTGCGCTTGTTTACTGTGTTGTTCTGATGCTTGTGTCTGTTGGTTAGGTAATAGCTCCTTGGGATTTATTTACTACATGCCCTTTGCAGCCGGAGGAGCACCGACATCAGAAGGCTTTTTAAGACCAACAAGACAGTGAGGGCACGAGTGCTAGTCTGAGAGGCGTCAGAAGCACCTGGAAAGCAGAATGTTACAGCTAGTTAGGATGTGTAGAGCAGGCAAGCAGAGGAAAGGGGCGCTAGGGATGATTTCAGGGTAACCACACCAGTGTCTGCGCGTCATGACGGGTCTGGGTGTGGTGGTCCCCTAGTTCCCCTTCTTCTTTTATAGTAGAAGATGGAGCATTGCCAGCCACTGGAAGAACTATGATGAGGAGGTTGGCTGTGGCAGAGGAAGGAGCACGTACTCAAGTGTCCTTTTTTCTTTCAGCGTTAAGATGTCAAATTCAGAAAAATAAGTGGTGGCATGTTTTCATCTTCAGAGTTTGTTTTTGAAAGTTTTCTAGATTTAAGAATATCCTTGGTTTGAGTTTACCACACCTGTAACAGTTGTAATTTTTAAACAACTCAGACTGTCGCGACAGTTTTCAAATGTAAGTAGTTTCTGGTCTAAGTGTAGTTCAGCTTCACCAAGAGGGAATTTTGATCTCAACTCTGTTCTCTTGCCTTTGGGTCTTTCTGCAGACACTTGGCAAGTTTTGCAGGACTGTCTTCACACGCCCTTGTTTTGGTTCACATTTTCATCATTTTTACCATAGTTGTTGTTGTATTTAGATTTTGGTTGGAGTTGTGAGGAAGAACACTGTTAATTCTTTACTTAGCTTGACTTGTCTCAGCATTTGGTGTCCATTTAAATCTTCAGATCATAACCACGTCATAGAAGGGGCACTTGTGGGAGGGATCTCATTACACAGCCACATGTGTTACTGCAACAGGTGCTCTTCACCCTGGACAATAGGGACCGTGTGGGCGGGGTGAGTGTGACAATACTAGAAAACATTCCCTTTTGTCTGGGTTTGAAACCTTTAAAACACTGCTACGTAAACAAGATTTTTAAAAGTTTGAAATCTCTGAACTATTTTTTGAAAAATGTGTTCTAAGCCTGCCTGGAGACCTTCCAGAAAATTAGACAGTTGACTTTTTGCATTTTATTTACTGTGGAGAAACTGAGAGCTTCCTCATTATGGGAAACAGGTTTCTGCATTTTTGAAATATCGCCAGCAAATAGACTATAAATGTTTGATTTCTTTTGAGGAGAATAACTCAGGTTAGTTTTAATTCTGTGGCAGGAAGCCATACTGTGGCTCTCTTGAGTGATCTGGAGTATGCGTTGGTCGTTGAAGATGTGCTGCTTGGGTAGATTTAGTGTCGGCGAAACTGGGACCACACTGAGGTGTGTACTTAAATAGCACGTTTGTATTTTTGACAGACAATGGGACGAGCAGTTGGATCCTCGACTAAATGCAAAACAGAAAGAAGCTGTTCTGGCCATCACCACTCCGCTCTCCATCCAGCTGCCGCCCGTTCTCATCATCGGCCCCTATGGGACAGGGAAGACCTTCACTCTGGCTCAGGCCGTCAAGCACATACTGCAGCAGCAGGACACGAGGTGAGCCGAGGGAGGCGTGCCCTGGCTCTTACCAGGCAGAGCCTCCTCTCCTCCGTTAAAGATAGAAAGAGGGCCAGCGAGACAGTCTCTATCCAGCTCTTAAGCACTAAAGCAAAAGTAAAACCTCATGAATTCTCTTAGAATATGCTGTTTTTAAGGTTGGCAGTGTAAGCCAGGCATGGTGGCACACGCCTGTAATCCCAGCACTCTGGGAGGCAGAGGCAGGAGGATCTCTGTGAGTTTGAGGCCACCCTGGTCTACAGAGCGAGTTCCAGGACAGCCAGGACTACACAGAGAAACCTTTTCTCAGGCGGGAAAAAAAAAAGCATTTGCACTGTAGACAGTATTTTTTTAACATAGCTATCAAAACTTCAGGTCTGCTAAGGAATTAGGGGATATGTAAGAATTCTTAAGAGCTGGGTTTAAAAATAGTTATTATGGGTAGATTTAAAGAATTATTTGGGGGAATTCCTCTTTAGCTTAAGAGTAATATAACCCTCCTGAAGGCTTCTTGGGGCCCCTGTTGATATGAGCAGGGTGAGGGAAATGGACATATAAGATGGCCACTGCTCTTTTGGTATGATACTGCTTGACTAGCTTTGTGTTGTGTCATTCTTTTTATTTGCACCATTTATTTCAGCAGGATTCTCATTTGCACCCATTCTAATAGTGCTGCTGACCTCTACATAAAGGATTATTTACATCCATATGTAGAAGCAGGCAATCCCCAGGCAAGACCTCTCAGGTATTTTTAAGGCTTATTATGTATCTGTATCATAATTTGTTATTCTTAAGAAAAGGTGTCTGTAAAGATTTTAGAGGCTTTGGAAACACCTAAAGCATTAACTTTGCATTGGCATTTGGAGGTGATGTCATTGGAAGAAACCTTTTAAATTAAGGCAAAAAAAAAAAAAAAAAAAGTAAAAATTGTTGACCATTTCTGAATCATTACATATACAGAAAGACATCCTTTTTTAAGTTTCTCATGTGAAATTGTTGTTACAGTCGGATTTTTGGTGTGTACATCTAAAAGATAGTCTAAGAAAAGTGAGTAGCTTAAATCAAATTAAGTTTGATTAAAATTCTAGCATGTTTTCCACAACAGAGTAGTCATGTAAAGACAACTCTTAATGAAGTAAAATTTTAACTGCTCATTTATTGGAAGCTTCTCGTTAGAGAAGCATGAAGCACAGAAATGATTTCTGCCTCACCTGTGATCATGGGCCCAGGGCTTCTTGCTATCATGTAAGAGGCAGAGTGTCATAGGCAATTTTAGGTTGTTTTAGAAAGGTCCAGTGATTATATGTGGACATAAAGTGTACTTACATATAGATTGTGGGAAAATAAAAATCCTTTTCTTCAGAAAACAATAAAGAATCATAAGTGGTTATTTATTATGTCACTTGCTTTTGTTGTTATATGAATTAATATTTAGTTTTGCCATCTTGCAAACTAATATATCATGGCCTGTTATTCAAATGATTATGAATTATTGCTTAAAAGTTAATTCTAACCACACTTCGATCCATAATATACTAACCTCTTATTTCTATATGAGTCTAGGCACAAACATGAAGTTATGCTCTTTAGTTCTTTAATTCCTGCAACCAACCCCCTTGAAAGTGTTTAGGACAGTGGTGTGGCCCATTAACGACAGATGCCCATGCTGTGTGGTCCTGTCACTCTGGGAGACAGCAGAAATCACAGCGGTAGTAGAATCAGCCACATGTAATAATAATAGAATGCCAAGTACTTACTGCTCCGTAACTGAGGGCGAAAAGTTTACTGAAAGACGCATCAACAGCCAGAGTGCAGATTTTAACCTCTGACCTCACAGAGGAAGTAGAGGAGCTAGCATTTTACCCTGAGTTGATTGTTTTATTTACTTGTAGTGTTGGTAGAACATGCGTGTGCCTGCTTGTGTGGGGGTATGTGTGTGTGTTGCATAGGAAATGTGGCAGTCTCTGGTATCATGGCTTAGAAACAGTTGAGCAAAGGCCCTCTGGACGTAGCATAGGGAGTTTGACGTTTGAGAAGTAACTATTTTCAAATGCAAGGTTCAGGTTATTTATGTAGTAAAGAGAGTATTCTGAGAAAACGACTAGCTTCTTAAGTGTTTCCTTCATGTAACCCTACACATTCACTGTAGATTTTCTCTTTAGGAAAAGTGCTAGCCTGCAGCTGTAACCTAGGAGAATTTGTGTCTTGAATTCTTAGGCTTTATTATAATATTAAATTAAGTGATAGTTTTCCTCTTGAGTAATAACCACAGGAAATTTGGGGGACACAGGATTAGAATGACTTAACTGCTCTGGGGAGAACAGCTTTATCTGAGGGTTTTGGTTTTTCTTTGGGGGTGCTGGGGTGGAACCTCACGGGCGTGGCCATGCTAAACAAGGGCCACCTGCTCACCATACCCCTAGCCAGGCAAGAAGTCAGCTTTACTGGAATTGTTCTGGAATGCAAGAGATGGAACACAAGAGGGCACCAGATGTCCACAGATGACTGAGCTGTTGCTGGGAAGCCAGGCGGACATCAGGCTGGCTCCTTGTCTGCACTCTAGCGTAGATGTGGGCCTGGGAAAGAGAATAGTCACTGAGTAAATACAGTACTAGATATGGGTAAGCACACATACTCAGGGTTAGAATTCATGAAATTTCTTCTAGTTGCCAATTGAGCTGGACCTAAAATACTTGAAGTTTTTAGACATTTTAGATTACATTGAGCTTCAGTTTTAAAACTTTCTTTAGAACTGGGACATTTGTACACACGTGCATATACCACACATACATGCAATACACACACTCAAACAATATACACACTCAAACCAACAAACACATAAATAAATGGCTGCACTGGGGCAGCACAAGCTATAATCCTGGTACCTATGAGGTGGGAGCCAATGGATTTTTGCAAATTTGAGGCCAGCCTTGTCTATGTCAGGAGTCAGCCCGAGCCATATAGTGAGACTTTGTCTCAAAGTTACAAAACAGGGCGATGAAAAGAAAAGCAAGGAAAAGAAGTATGAGGAAAGCAGGTTGTTTTTTTTTTTCTTCTTCTCTTCGTGTGGGTCTGAAGATAAGCTCTGACCCTAGCATGGTCAGTGCTGCAGGGACAGTCACCGAGCAGCTGTGCTTTCTGCTGCCGGGCGAGGGGAAGGTAGCTGCCCTTTTGGCAGTCTCGAAGAAACAGATTTTTTTTTTTTTTTAATTTAAAGGGATCATTACTTTTTGACAATTTCTGTTTGGCGTAGTAACTTTTTTAGTTGCTTTTTGCACATGAATTTATTACATGTTCAAGACCCCAATGAATTAAAATGATACATACCAGACCATCTGCAGTTTTAAAGGATTAATTTTAATCATGGAATATGCCGATTGTTTTATTTGTAGGAAATCTATAAAATAATTGCTGTTATATTTATTTACATGTGTCTCTTTTCCCCTGTGGTGCTGGGAACCCAGGGCTTTGAGCTTATTATAGGCTTTACCCCCAAGTTATATTTTCAGTGGTATATTTTGGATTATGAACTTAAAAGCATCATTTTCCACTGTTAATACTCTGATGTGAAAACTGTTACCTTTGTTTTATTTCTTATTCCACCTTTGTAAACACTACTGCCATTCATCTAGTTTCCAAAGCTAGAGGCAGGTGCCTGTAATCCAGAACTCCGGAGGGAGAGATGGGCAGAGCAGATCACACTCACCACTGTGGGGTGAGTTTGAGGCCAGCCAGGCTCAGACTCTGTCTCAAAAACAAACAGAAAACCTAGAATCATCTCTTGCCTTAAATTCTATTGCTGGCTTGTTAATGAATTCTGTTGGCATTATGTTAAAATACCTAGTGAGTTCAATTGCAATATCTCTGCTGTTCCCTAAGCCACCACCATCCCATGTCTAGACCTTGGTTTTCACCTCCTGACTTGCCTTCCTGCTGCTTCTGTACCCTGATTTCACCTCCACCTCACTCAGGATTGTGTTAGAATCAACTTGTATGAGTTTATGAGGGTCCGGCATGAGCACATCTTCCCATGTTCATATCTGTTGACACCATGCAGAAGCCTTGAAGTTGGCCATAGGAGTAGCCTTTTACAGCACAGAAGCCAACATATGCTGGAACCCCTACCCCATCTGCTTGCTAAATACTGAGCAGTCTGCCGCTCTGAAACTGTCTCCCTAAGGAGAGTCTGCCCACAGCCCAGTGTCCTCTTTTGACAATATGAGTCATCATGACTACCCTGGCCAGTTGCTGGCTTTCCATTAAACCCAGAGTAAAGCCTTTGTGGTTGCGCTAAAGCCCTGCGTGCTGTGTGCTGAGTCTGTGTGCTGGAGCAGAGTCAGCAGCCAGGACATCTTGGTTGAGGGGGGTGGGGACGGTGGAGGTGGGCGGACAGCTGGGATCTGTACGTCAGAGCAGTCTAGAGCTGAGGCCTGTTCAGACTTTCTGCTGTACTTGAAAAGATGAGATGTCTTAAGATTTACACTAAGAATTTTTGATCATTCAAAAATTTATCTTTAGATTCCAGAAGCCCAGGCCGAGGTTTTTTAAAAATAGTTTCAAGAACTTCTCTAAAGTAAAATTATTACAAATTGTTCTAAAGTAAAAACGTTCTAAGCATACAAATTCATAGTTTGTATTAGCATAAATAAAATGAGTTAAGCACATTTTTGTGAGACTATAATTGAAATAGGTAGTTTGGGAATGGAAGGTTTCAAGCTTAATTTAAAAAACTATTGCTTATAAAACATTTGTGTGTTAATTCTGTTGCAAGATTACTTGAATACTTGCAGAAATTAGGTATTTATCTCGAGGTGGCACCTACACTTCATGTTTAAATCCTTTAAACTATTTGATAGGGAAGGTCATGGTGCTGTAGCGGCAGTTTTACACCGAAATTCTAAACTCTAGTAGGCTGTGAATGATTATGACATTTATCTGTTCCTCTTTTGGCCCTGTGCCTTAAGTGACAGTGCAGTGTCCTAACATTCCTCGACTGCGAACGTTCTAACAGGAAGTGCCGTCTTCTCTTGTAGGGTGTATTTCCGAAACCGCTGGGTGAAGACTGTCCACCCAGTTGTGCACCAGTACTGTCTGATCTCAAGCGCACATTCCACCTTTCAGATGCCCCAGAAGGAGGATGTTCTTAAGCATCGAGTGCTGGTGGTCACACTGAACACTTCCCAGTACCTCTGCCAGCTGGACCTGGAGCCCGGTATGCCCGCCAGCCACGGGTGGCTGTCTCCCAGGGTCGGAGTGTGCGTCCCGGTGGCAAGTGCTATCCTGTGGGCCGCACCTGGCCACGTGTCTCTTTTACTGCACCGAATGCAGCTGCGTGTCCCCGTTTATTAACTGGTTTCTTGTCTGCGGCTGCTTCCGTGATGCAGGCTGAAGCAGGATCTTCTGCAGGGACAGAAGCTCTTTGGCCCCTGACTGAAAAGCATTTGCCCCCCCCCCCCCCCCAGGATAATCAGTTTCATGACTGTCATTCTCTTTGATCTCTGGTTGGCCAGGTAGTATTTGTTAAGTTAGTGATCATGTGAAGAATTCAAATTTGGACAGTGGTGTGTGTGTGTCTAATTTGTTGAGGTTTTTGCTAAGTTGCTTTTGTATCATGTTACATAGAAATAGCAATCATGGCACATGAGTGAGGTTTCTTATTATTAAAGATTTATTTGTGCATGTGTGTATGCCTGTGTCTGTGCACGTGTGTCTGCATGCACACGTGTGTGCCCATGTGCAGAAGCACCTGTGGAAGCCAGGTCCAGGAAGCCAGGACAGACTGTCTATTCTTCCACAGATCTGAGGCTCATGTTTTCTTGGCTAGGGTGGCAGCCAGCAAGCCTGAGTGATCCCCCTGTCTGTGTCTTTTTGAAGCTGGGCTCACAGGCATAGGTGAGCTGTCCTGTTTGTGATGTGGTGCTAGAACCGAACTCTCGTCTCCATCATTGTGCTCAGTAAGCCTCTGTCACTGCTCGACCATCTCTCCAGCCCCTAAGGTTCTTATGTTTATATGCTAGAACTATGCAAATATCAGTCTTACTTTTATTCACTTTTTATTTTTGTGTTTTTGAGGCATGGTCTTGCTTTGTAATTCATGCTTGCACTGAACTTGATATGTAGCCCAGGCTGGCCTTAAACTCTCTTCTACCTTCGCCTTCCAAGTGCTACGCTATAAGTGTGTATCACCATGGCCAGCTCAGTCTAATTTATGAGTCCACAGATCTGAGATGGCGATTGTGGTGAGTGTGGCAGAACTCGACCATGAGAAGACGGTTGTGTCACTTTAGTAGGTGCTTTCTCTTTGCTTCTGCTATACTTGTTAACATTGTGTGTTGCCATCCCATCTCCTGCTGCGACTGCCTTTAAAGCCAGCGACACATTCCCCTGAGCATCGGAGACCCTGTATGGCAGAGGCGGTTCCCTTCGCCTGCATTCCTGGCACCTGGCCCAGGGTATAACACCTGGAGCCCTCAAGTTTAGGAACTGTAAAATAAAAAGTTCTGTTTATCTTAAATGAAGATTTAGCAGCCAACTCTTTTCTTTTCCTTACTGAGGTTGGGTTTAGTTTTAGAAAGGCCTCAGAATCATTAAGCGAGGTGACTAGCCCGGGTACAGAGGAAGGCCCCTCATGGGATGAGGCTTCACCTCCATGCATAGAGCTCTCACCTGGCTGTGAGGACAGTCCCAGGGTGTGTTTTACAGTTCACGGCACAGTGGCAGCACCATTGTAAACAAGACTCTTTGAAAGGCCAGTTTGGAGCTGGGCCTGGTGGCGCACGCCTGTAATCCCAGCACTGAGAGCCGCAGAGGCAGGAGGATCGAGGCCAGTCGAGTCTACAAAGTGAGTCCAGGACAGCCAAGGCTACACAGAGAAACGGTGTCTGGCAGGGGGCAGGGGGAAGAAAGGTCAGCTTGGGAATGTTCATTCAGCCAGCCTCCTCCTCTCTTGATGCTGGTCCCTTGCATGCCAGCTATACAGAAAGAGACTTAGATGCTGCAGCTCTGCTTGGTGAAGGAGGAGGCATGGTATTGAAGGCCTGGCTCTGGGGTTGTGTTTACTAGGGCTCATGGTCTGGCTGCTGTTGTGTTTTATTTCATTTTGTTTATTTCATTTCAGTCTCAAATCAACCCTGTGGTGATTATCTTACAGTTAACAGAACTGAGATTCAAACTTAGTTTAATTAATTCCAGTTGCCTTTTCTTTCCTTCCCTTTTCTTTCTTTACTTTTTTCTTCTTTATTTTTTGAGACAGGTTTCTTTATGTAGCCCTGACTGACCTGGAACTTGCTCTGTAGACCAGGCAGACCTTGAACTCAGATCCCTCTGAGGGTTGGGAGTTTCCTTTAGAAGCTAACTTAAGTATAGACAGCAGTTTGATAATTTATGCAGCTCCTGGAAAAAAAATGTTGACAAATGGAAACAGATAGTTATTCTTTTTAACCTTTTCTTTTAAAAATATTAACACTTATTTTATTTTGCATACTCTGTATACGTGTTTGGAGATATGTAAGTGAAGTTGCCCAGAGTCCAGAAGGTGTCAGATCCCTGGAATTAAAAGCAGTTGTGAACTACACAACATGGGAAGCAAACTCAGGTCCTCTACAAGAGCAGAACTTCTGAGCCATCTGTCTCTCCAGCCCTAAGCTTTTTAAAAAGTCCCATTTCCAGCTGACTGTCTGGAATGAGGATGACCTCAGAGTCCTCAGGACTTGGATTAACAAATGAAATTCTCCCTAGCAGAGTAGGAGGCATGGACTGCTGGCTGCTTCCATGATGTGTGCTTATGTTCTGTCTTCTAGGGGTTTTTACGCACATTCTGTTGGACGAAGCTGCCCAGGCCATGGAGTGTGAGACCATAATGCCTCTAGCCTTAGCAACGAAAAACACACGCATTGTTTTGGCTGGGGATCATATGCAGGTAGGTGTCATCTTAGTCAGTGTCTTGAGAGTTATATTTTAGCATTTAACATTCTATTTTCTAAAATACCAGTTGTAATAGCCGTGAGTACTCTGAGCCTCCGAACCATGACTCCAGCACCTTTAAAGTTAAATTTCAAGTCTATCAGATAGAGTAGTAGATTTCACTAAGGAAAAAGCCTTGTTTATTAATATTAATACTTGTTCATCATAGTCAAACATATCTTATGAGTTATTTGTATTTATTTATTCATTCATGTACTTATTTATTAAGACATTTTATTGTGTAGCTCAGGCTGGCCTCAAAAACACAACACTTCAGTGTCAGTCTCTGCTGTTCTGTGATACCAGGTGTGTGCCACAACATCCAGTCTGAATTTATTATTTGATTTTTGTAAGTAAATCTTTAAAACCCTTTTTTAAGTGTGTACCCACACATACATGGTATGCATGTCGAGGTCAGAGGTCAGCTTTCAGCAGTCTGTTCTCTTCTTCCACCATGTGGAAGGGTCATAGTCAGGTCATCAAGTTTGATAGCAAGCACCTTTACCCGTTGAGGCAGCCCTGAGTTCATTATAAAAGCATCTTACGATTTGGTGATACTGCTATGCGATGCCCGGGGAACCATTTCTAGACCTCTGTGGAAGCAGTTGCATAGCTTGTGTTCTGTCACCATCTCGCACTGTCGTTCCTCTTTGGTGGTTGACGTCCATTTGTAGTCGTGATGAGGTCAGTACTAGTGTTAAGCAGTTGATTGGTTTTGGTGAAGTAACTGATTTATGCTCTTTAAATCCGTAAGCTGTTGTGTGAGAGGGGCTGTGTTCAGCAGTAGGAACTGTAGACTCTTGCTGCACTACACTGGGAAGCAGGGGTTTTAGTCTTCTTTCTTGTGATATAGTAAAATGGTTTGTAGACAGTATGTGTGTTTATTATTAAAATAAAATTTAATATATAAAATTTATTTTTATTCTTTTATCTTGCTTCAGCATTCAGCATGTTAAATACAGAAGATGTTTTAGTGTGTAAGTAGGTTCAAAAATACTATCCATACATCTCATTAAATTTTCTTTGTATGTTTGTCTGTTACAGCTCAGTCCTTTTGTTTACAGCGAGTTTGCCAGGGAGAGAAACCTTCATGTTTCATTACTTGATCGACTCTACGAGCATTACCCTGCCGAGTTCCCGTGCAGGATCCTCTTGTGTGAGAACTACCGCTCCCATGAAGCTATCATCAAGTAGGTGTGAGCTGTCCCCTCAGGCTCACACTTTCTGCGGGCTGTGGGGGGGAACCCAGCAAGCGCATGCCCAGGCTCCGGTGGTTTTAGGTGGATTTTATATGGTCTCTTGAGCGTTACAGACGATGCCTAACCTTGTGTTTATAAAAGAACAGTCAGAATCCAGAACTGTGCTTCTTGATAAGAAATAAGGCAGTTTGAGAACTAAAATTTGAGGCTTTACTGGTCATGATATGTTTTTCTATGAATTAATCTATAATCTATCTGAAAAATAACACATATCTATTGTGAAAGAAAGAAGGGAAATGGAGGGGGAAAGCTCTGACACTGAGTTTTAGGAGAGTCCTTTAAATACGGCACACATGTGTAAGATTTGCCCGACAGCTGGGTGACAAGGCCTCTGACCAGCATCCAGCTGAAGGAGCAGAGCATTGCCAGAAGCAAACTCTGGAAAAGCTTCCTAGTATATAGTGATCCTGGCTATGCGGTGCCCGTGGAAACCATTTCTAGATCTCTGTGGAAGCAGAAGCACAGATTACATTGTCACCATCTCGCACTGTTGTTCCTCTTTGATGGCTGACGTCCATTTGTAGCTGTGATGAGGTCAGTACCAGGCAGCCTGTTTTCGGCACAGTTGGAGACTGCAGTCGGCACTGTGTCCAAGCCTGTGCAGTTTTGTGATTGCACGTACAGTCCCACATCACTTATCCATGGATGCAGTCTGAGAAGTGTCACTGGGATGTTGTTGTGTGACTGTCAGAATGCATTTCACAGACCTGATCAGTGTTGTGAGCCCCCTGCCTCGGTCTCATGGACACAGGAGACGGATGTGGCTGCCTGTAGGACGGCACTTTACAGGAGTGTTTTTATAGGGGAAGGACACAGTCTGAAATAAGAGCCAGGAGTACAGAAAGCAGCAGCAGTCATTTGGATAGGACATACTGTGCATCCCGACCCTTGTGGGCTCGTTTGCACCAGCATCACCACTGACACAGGGAGCTTGGTGCTGTGTGCTGGCTGTGGGGAAGTCTTTTAACTCTGGTGTAGGCCATGGGGTCCATGGCTGACCAGAAAGATGTACGGTGACACATGCAGTGTATGAGCCACATGGATGGGATTGTGTGTTAGCTGAGACAGTTGAGCGGAGGGCGTTTTCTTACAGAGCAGTGCTCAGCCGGTAGTGAATGCTCATCATTTCTTTTGCACTCTGGTCTCCTTTCTTACAGAGTCGATGCATGTGGCAATGGTGTTACAGGGTCGTCTCTGTAGCACTGTCATTATTTTTAGGAAATTATTGGCATCACAACTATTCACTGTTTGGACATTGAGTTGATTAATTGAACAATTAATTGAGGACATGAATTAGTATAAGAATTGAGTGGGTTTTTGTGTAGGTGAAATTAATTTCCTGATAGAGGCCTTTGTTTTTCTCTTTCTCTGCAGCTATACCTCTGAGCTTTTCTACGAGGGTAAACTGATGGCCAGTGGAAAGCAGCCAGCACACAAGGACTTCTACCCACTAACATTTTTTACAGCACGAGGGGAAGATGTACAAGAAAAAAATAGCACAGCCTTTTATAACAATGCAGAGGTACCTTAGCTCATACTGATTTTAATATTTTCTTGGTCTGTTGAGCATTTCAGATTCAGGGTTGATGTTTGATAGTGTCCTGATTTCTCTTACCAAAAAAACTGAGTAAACTTTATGTTTATTTATTAAGATGAATCTACAATAAGCAAAATTTTGATTTTCTTTTTGTAGTAATGTTAAAACAGAAAACACAACATTAAGAAAAGCTAACATTTTCTGATGTACAGTCTTAAAGAGACTGATTAAATTTCTAGCTCATACTCAGAGGGGACTTCATTGTTAATGAGGAAGAGCTGAACTATAGAATCCTGTGCTTCAGGACATGAGAGACCACATGGTCGCCAGCATTGACCCCACTGTCTGATCAGATGCTTCGGAGTATTCTCTTCCAGTTTCTGGTTTCCAGAGAGAATGTGGGTGTCTTGAAGGGTTAGACCAGGTAGTAGCCAAACTCACAAGAAAGCCTTGAAGGAGTGACGGGCTAGGAAGCTATGGCTAAGGTTCCAGCTGTCCTCGGGCTTAGGAAGGAGAAGGAAGTGTGTGGCTGTCTTTAGGGACTGCCGGTTCTAATCTCTGCTCATTGTATTTACACAGGAATGGCTTTTGTTACATAACAGGAACTCATATATCCCTTTAAAAATTGATCAGAAGGTTACAGTTAGAATTCAGTGCAAGAAAGCCATCAGTGTCACTTGCTCAAACCCTATTCCCAAACTATGAAGCCTGACATTTTCATTAGTCTGTGCCATTTCATGTTAGGAACAGGTAAACTTTTCTTTAAATATTGTGAGACTGGTGGTGGCTTTGGGGCTCCCCTTTGTTGCTTTACACTCAGGCTAGAAGCCACTGGCCTGGAAATTGGTCATGATAGGAGGGCTGACAGAGAGAAACAGGCAGGACCTAAAATCCAGAAGGTTCTGTGGTCTTCTTGTGGCACCGGGGATGGTAGCCACGCACTGGGCCCTGTTTCCCTCATTGTGTGTCTTCAGGTACTCTCCACGCTGCAGGATGTGTACTGTGCAACTTCCCTGGACTGTCAATTTTACTCCAAGTATTTTGGAAAAAAAATCTTTTTATGGTATGAAAACCCAAAGACAACATTTTTGTTACTTTTAAATATTAAACACGTAACTTTAGAGAAATTTCAAGTGACTTTAAACTTAACCAGGGCATGGTTGTTCAGTTCTATGAGTTACTGCTGTCACAGATCTTGAGGTCCATTGCCGAGGGACTCTTCCATGGACACAAAACCAGGTTCTAGTTTATTACGGCTGAATTACAAGGAAAAAATTTAGAGCATATATTAATTAGATAATTAATGGCATTTTAAATATACATATATAATATCTTTTGATCATAATCACACCCCTGCATTACAGGGTAGCCTTTGTTTCAAAATAGGGTCTCACTATGTATCCCTGACTGTCCTGGAATTTCTTTTGTGGACCATGCTGGCCTTGAATTCAGAGATCTGCTTGCCTCCCAAGTGCTGGGATTAAAATCATGCATTGCTTGGATGACCTTGACTGGTAACTCAAAAGAGGACTTCTCGTACCTGGTGCTGGTATTTTATTAGATGGTCTATGGCTCTTGTGGGGATCTTTATCAGCATAGATGGGAAAATTTAATTTAAAATATATATGTATATATGCTTGGTTGTGTTATATATTTAGTTATTTAATGATGTTTCTGGGGCCAATAGTATATATCTAATCAGAATCTGTTTCAGATTTGTCTAACTAAATTTCAGTGACGTGGAGAAACTCCTACACAGCTCTTTATCTGCCACCACCTTTCAGCTTTTATTTTTGTACATATTGTGTCAGTGTTTAATAATTTGAATGATAACCTTGTTAAAGTGTGTGCGTGTATCTTAACAATTCCGAGTGAAGAAAAGGGACAAACATACAGAGTCTTCACGTCAACATTCCCCTTTTGTGAGGAGATCCATGGTGCTGAGCCTGCCAGCCTCCCCAGAGCTACATGCCTACCTGTCTGAATGTCTCCACTGAGAGTGTGACCTCCCCCCCTCTGCTCGAGTATGTGTGGTTAGCTGGCATAACTTATACCCGCCTGCCTCTTCCGTGCTTGCTGTCACACGTAGTGTATTTCTGTATGCTGTAGTGGCTCTTTAAAATCAGCTGAGAGGAGGTAGGAGAAAAATAGCTGTGCTCTGTCCTTTGGAACAATCAGGGCTATACTCTTAGCTGCACTGTCTGGATTTGCATTACTGTATGTGACATTTGGTTTAGACTGAAGAATGTTCTTTTTACTTCTGGCTAGTTCTTCTGTGAATAGGGAATTCTCTCAGGTGTGGTTCATCTGGAAACGTTTGTATTTTGCTTCAGTTTTGAAGAGTATGGAAGATTATTGGTCAGATCCCCGCACACCCTATACTGAAGCCCTCTCCTCTTCGGCTTCCATTTTTTTCTCATGAGAATTACGTGCTTATCTTATTAGAGTCCCTTTGTAAAAATGGTTGTTTTTCTTTTCTTGTTTTTAAGATTTCATTTCTGCCATTGACTTTGAGCATTTTGACTGTGATATGTCTGGATTCACATCTGGATTTATTTATCTTACGTGAAGTTCATTGTATGTGTTTTTCATCAGATATTAGACAGGGTTTCTCTGTGTAGCCCTGGCTGTCCTGGAACTCACTCTGTAGACCAGGCATTTTAATACATGTATACCAAGTACTTTGGTTATGTTTATTCTTCTCTTTTCCGTTATTATTCCTTATGATAATCTTTCTTTTACGTCCACACCTTTTTTCCTCTGTGATTTCTCTCTTAGATTTCACATGTGAGAGATCACATTTGCTGTTTGTCTTTGTGAGGTTGGCTTATTTCAAACTTACTATGATTTCTAGTTTATCCATTTTCCTGCAAAATAAAAACAGCATATTTTTCTTTTTGAAGGCTGACTAAACTCCATTTTTTTGTGTATTTGCATTTATATCACACTTTGTTTATTTATTTATCCATCGTGGACACCTCGTTGATTCCATGCCAGCTGTGAACACTGCAGTGATGCAGCAGGTGTGATGGCGTCTCCAGCAAGCTGACTTCGATTCTCTTGGCTACAACCCAGAAGCAGTGAAGCTGGGGCTAGAGCCCCTATAATACTGGTTGTTTTGTTTTTGTGTTGTTTTTTCCAGAAGCCTTCCTACCATCTGATTTTCTCTAATATTAGAGAATATTGGAACTTAATGACGCCTCTTCGGTAACTTTTCCTCATTAGTTCTCCTTACTTTGGATCCTTCGGTCAGCATAAATCTGTTGGATCCTGCTAGGATGTTTCTTCATTTCAGCTATCTTACTTTCAATTTTGGGGGCCATGAATTGTTCCACTTGTGATGCAGTGGAAGTTGTGTTTCTTGGCAGAGTGTTCCCAGTTTGTGAGGCTTACTTTTTTTGTTTTTAATCTTCCTTCCTTCCTTCCATTTTCTGAGACAGGGTTTCTCTGTGTAGTCTGGGCTGTTCTGTGACTCACTCTGTAGACCAGACTGGTCTCAAAATTGGAACTCAGATCTCTGCCTTTCAAGTACTGAGGTTAAAGGTGTGTGCCACCGCTGCCCAGTTAAATTATATGTTTAATAAAAACAAAGTGTAAATTTATAGATATGTGTAGATACGTAGGTGTGAGTATAAGTTCTGGGGAGGCAGAAGGGGTTTTTAGATCCCCTGCACCTGGACTTATATACAGGTGTTTGTCAGCTGCCTGGCATGGGTGCTGGGGACCAAACTAAACTCTTTGAAGACTAGAAAGTATTGTTAACTGCTGAGCTGTCTCTCCAGCCACCAGTAAGAATCTTCTGCGTTTAGACCAAGGAAGTTGGGGCCCACTGATGCTCCCTGGCTGCTGAATGTCCATAGCATAGGGTTTCTGTCCTCAGAAGGACTACACTCTTCTCTTGTGGTCTTCTTTTGATTTAATGTTTTCATTGATTATTTGGAAATTTCATGTAATGCACCCTAATCATACTTACTTCCCAGCACTCTCAGGTCCACCCTCCACCCTTCCCGAAAACGAAAGAAGAAAAAAACCCAGCAAGTCCAATTTGTGTTGCTCATACACTCACTGGAGCATGGTCAAACTCTCAGTGGCCAGCCCCTTGGAGAAAACCATTGTCCCTGCCCCCTTCCTCTAGGACCTGTCAGTTGTGAAGAGTTACACTTCAGCGTCTTCATCACAATTTTTAAGCATTCTTTTCAATGGTTTCTTGACCAAATTGGGTTTTTTGGGGGGCAGGTGTTGTCACAGAATTCTTCTGGATTTTTCATTCTCAGCTGTGAGTCTGCAATCCCCAACAGCTTCCTTGCCCTTATGGGCAATGGCAGCAAAGGTCATGGATTTCTACATGGTTTCTGGGCTGCAGCACAGGCCATGGACACCACCATGGCCCTCAGTGTCAGCTTGGGCCATGGACATCAGCGTGGCCCCCAGTGGAAATGTAGACCATGGAAAGCCACACAGCCTCTGGCCACAGCACAGACACGGACATTAAATGCTCTCTGGCAGCAACACGCTGCCCACATCGCCTGGCTCCCGTTGTCTTTGCCACCACATCTGTAGTTTCACCATTCTCTTGTGTGCATGCGGCTCTGTTCTGCCCTCTTTTCTTCCAATTTCATGTGTCTACTTTCTAAAAGCATCTTCTCACAGGACCTGCCCTTCTCTAGCTTTCCTGGGGACATGGTGTGCTCTGCAGACTCCTCTGCCACCTCGTCCTCGTCTCCCCCGGGAGCCTCCATGACTCCCTCAGGTTCCTCAGAGCTGCTCTTTGGTTTGATCACAGCTGTGCCACAGCTTTCCATCCTCGATGGTGATGATGTTCTCCCAAACACGCTCCAGTAGCTCGTAGGCTGGGTAGATGCTGAGGTGGACCAACTTGAAGCACTGGCTGTGGGCGGTTGGCAGCTGAGTTGGTCAGCCCACACTCATGTCTTCCGGGTGGCCGCCTGTCCACGGCAGATCTTCCGTTCTCCTGCCGTCTTACCATAGGAGTTGGGGACAGGGGTGCAAGCTCTACCCAGCTGCTGCCAGCTGCTCAGTACAGGGCTTTTGCAGTAGGGAGCTGGGCAAAACAGTGTGTGCTAATGTTTACTGGTTGTTAAAAGCATTTGCAATCACTCCTTCAGTACAGGGATCTGAGGGAGATGGAAATTGGCCACTGGAGCAGTCCAGGAAGTAGTCCCCAGCGTGAATGCCCCCCCCCAGTCCCTACTGAGAGTCTGCAGATTTTGTTAAATAGATACCCCTTCCTTGCTTGTTAGACCTTTGATCAGTCTCTAGAGTCTTTGCTGATTTTGACTAATCTACAACAGATCTGCCAGGAGGCAGTTTTCATTTTGATACCATTTTATGCTGCCTAAAAGGTAAGAATATGAATGGAGGGGAAGGGTAGGCCAATGGCTTGGGTTTGGCTTCACAATGGAAACTCTGTTAGGTTTTCCAGCGCAGGGTCTTCCATGTTTCACTTACCCCACATCTGTACACATGGACAAAGACATGCTTTTCATGTTCTTATTGCAGTAGACACTAATTCCAAATAGAAATTGTGAGTAAATAGTAAATAAGTGCTGTAGGAAAAGTCATCACTTAAATTTTCACGTCAGCTGGATGCCACTAGATTCTGGCCTGACTCTGGATTGAATTTGCCAGATAGGGAGGGAGGGAGGAAGGGAGGTAGATGGATAATAGAGAAATCGATAGAGGGCGAGTGGATAGGTGTATAGTAGATAGGTGCACAGACAGACAGACAGACAGGGTGGTTTTCTATGTAAGAATCTCGTAGGCGTTAAGGAACATGTTTTAGTAACCTGTGCCAAGCATTGAAGCTTTTTGACAGTTCATTGAGGGAAAGTAGATCAAACCACTCAAAACGATCCAGACAACCTGCTGCAAAAATACTACAGAAAAGATCGTGCAGCGGCTTGGCAGAACTTGTGCCACAAGTGGAACAGATTCTGAAAGTCTGTCTGAAATTTGTCTAGTCGCAGCTGAGGTTTGGGCCACCCAGCAGCTGTCGGATGGTCTGCTCAGTTATATCGTGGGGGATGGGAACACCAGGCCTTGGCCTCCTGGGACTCAGTGGTGCACGGACTGTAAGAACCCTCTGGTTGGTTGGTGCTTCCCCGCTGGCCCAGCATTAGTGACTCCACCCTGCTTTCCTGTAACACTCAGCCCTTTTTACCGGTTAGAGTGAAGGCCGTGAGAGGTGTGGCCACCCACCCAGTACATTGCCATGGTTTCAGTGTTTCCACTAGTGACGCTATTACAGGATTTTATGTTGTTTGACATGTGAACACGTGTTATCGTCTTTACCACTGTAACGTCAGAAATGCACCAGGAGAAGCCCGTTTGTAGATGGGCTTTTAAATGGCATTTGCTAAAAGTGATCCTGCATCAGTTTCTGTTAGCATCTTCCTTCCCCAAACAACAGTGGTCATTTAACTGTGTGTTTTTTGTTTAAAGGTATTTGAAGTGGTGGAGCGTGTAGAAGAGCTAAGGCGGAAGTGGCCAGTGGCGTGGGGGAAGTTAGATGATGGCAGCATCGGTGTGGTGACGCCATATGCTGATCAGGTGTTTAGGATCCGGGCTGAACTTCGGAAGAAGAGGCTCTCTGACGTGAGTGTAGAGAGGGTGCTCAACGTTCAAGGTAAGGGCTAAGTAGAATGAGCCAGGCTATTCAGATGTCTTAAAGTGCGGGAAGATTGGATTTCTAATTCTCTTAAATAATCTTAGATCTTCAAGAAATCTAATATTAAAGAAAAAAGAAAGAAAAGAAGTTTCATTATTTTTTTGGGCTGCAGATGATATGTTCATTTCCTATCAAATTCTTTAATATAAATTTACATGTTTATTAACATTCCAATACCCAAATAAAGATACTAACAAATTGACTTTATCACCAGAGTTATGTAATGCCACAAATATCTATATGATATAGCCATAAAAATATAGAATACGTGCTGCTGTGCTGTATTTGGGGACTATTTTGAAATATTTTATCTGTAGACTTCCTTAAGTGACTAGTTACTTGTGAACCTGTTTTCACTGTCAAGAGATGAGTTGTTATAAACTTTGTGCCTTAAATATATGGAGCAGTATCAAATGTGAACACCAGAAAAAGCCTGGTGGTATTGGGTACATGCTACAACAGGAAGAATAATCCAGTGTCTGGATCATGGGGAGCAAGGAGCTCCCTTCTACCCACATCTGGCTCACATTCAGTTGGGTATTTTAGTAATGAACAGGAATGCTCACAGAGTAGATGTAGGTCAGCCCATGGTCTATTTTATATCCACATGGGCAGGGAGCAGATGAAGATGTGGGGTTAGAGAAGAGAAAACTAGAGACTGATATTAACACTTTTGTCAAAGCTTTGGAGCCTTGCTATAGAGTGAGGGGATGTTAGATCATTATAAGAAACAGATGTTATGAAGCCAGACTCCATAAGTCCTCTGTGAAATTGGCTGTGTCTCCTCTGTTTGACAGGAGGCGAAGTGGCCTTGCTTTAAGGAGAAGGCTTCTTGTGTTGGGTAGATGCTGGCCTAGCTAATCCCAGAGATTGGTTCCAGCAATATGATTAGGGGAAAAAAAATTAAGCAAGGTGTGGTGGTAAATATCTGTGATCTGAGCATTCAAGAGGTGGAGACAAGAGAATTGCCAGTAGTTTGAGACCAGCCTGGACCACATAGTAGGTTTACGACCAGCCTTGGCAATTTAGCAAGACCTTTTTTCAAGAGCAAAATAAAATCACAAAATAACCTTTTTTGGGGGTGTGGTAAAAGGTTCATAACAAAAACTTAAGCATTTGGGGCATTTGTAGGTTTGCAGTTCAGCACATTCGTACGGCACAGCCCTCACTCACCACCACCCATCGCTAGACCCGTCCATCTTTCCAAACTGAGACTGCGTGCCCATTACATAAGACCTCCCATTCTTCTGTCATCCTTGGCTGACACTGTTCTATCCAACCGTCTCTCTGTGTGGCTTTCACTACTTGAGCCTCTCGTAATTACATTCAGGTAGTGCAGCCTGAGTAGCTCTCACCCAAAGTGCTTGGGTCAGGCATCCTCAGACCTCAGAGCTGTCCAGCTTAGGGCTTTTTTCTCAAATTACACCTGTCCTTTTGTGATTAGGTTTTGTTTGCTTAACACAGTGCGTGCCTCTGAAGGTCTTTCACACTGTGGCATGTGTCAGCTGAGTAACTCATTGTGTGTAATCACACTGGTGTGTCTGTGGACACTGGGTCACATTTGCTGGCTTCATGATCCAGGCTTGTGTGAGCATGGGTGCAGCATCCTCATGGAGACCTTGCTTTCAGTATGGTGGGTTGTATCTGAAGTGGACGTGTTGAATCAGATGGGCACCCTGTTTCATTTTTTGAGGCATGGCCCTGGTTGTCCAGAGCAGCCGTGCACCTCTTATAGCTATACCTATGGCTGGGATTTCTCATGTCTTCACCAGCACCCGAGATTTAGCCATTATGATTTTATAAGCTTTATTGTATCAGTGACTCATAGTGATGATCTGTCTTTCTTTCGATGTTTTTGTAGGAAAGCAATTCAGAGTTCTCTTTCTTAGCACAGTGCGCACACGCCACACTTGCAAGCATAAGCAGACGCCAATTAAAAAGAAAGAGCAGCTTCTGGAAGACTCCACTGAGGACTTAGATTATGGTTTTTTATCTAACTACAAACTTCTGAATACTGCCATCACCAGAGCACAGTCCCTGGTTGCTGTGGTGGGCGATCCCATTGCTCTGTGCTCTGTTGGAAGATGTAGGTAAGTCTGTGTCACTGAACTGAGAGAGACTCTGAATGGGAAATGTGGAGTGATTTACATCCTTGTGCATGTGTTTATCTGTATGACCACATGGTGAATTAAAGTCAGGCTTACAGTTACCTGACATCCAGCATTAGTGAGAGAATTGTTATTTAGGGCCTGCTCATGGTACATGCGTAATTGTGTATTCTGTCAGTGAATGATCAGCAATACCACAGCGTGTCTGTGTTCTCAGCACGCTTCTAGCCTGGAGGTAGTCAGTGAGCAACACACACACAAATTGTGGTGGTTGCACTTTATTGGGTAGAAAAGGAGGACTGAATAAGAACACAAATTAATGCAGAGAAAGAGAGAGAGACATGAGGAGCTTCTTGGGGTGAGAGATGATATGAAGTGGTTTGTGACTAGAAAGGGTGTGGTCACAAGAGCCCACCCCAACAAGCTGACTCTGGCAGTGACCGGGGGAGCTGTTGAGTTACCTGCAGCTGAAGTGTTCTAGGGAGAGGGGCCAGCTAGTGCCAGAGCCCGAGGCGGGCGTGTTTGTGTGTATCTTCAATCTAGCTTAAACTTTACACTAGCTACTGCCCTCCCGTCCGCTTGCTTCATTGTTACTTTACTTTCTTTTTTTAAAAAATTATTTAATTGTCTTTTATGTGCATTGGTGTGAAGGTGCCAGATCGCCTGGAATTATAGACAGGTGTGAGCTGCCATGTGGGTGCAGGGAATTGAACTCAGGTCCTCTGGAAGAGCAGCCAGTGCTCTTGACCGCTGAGCCATCTTTCCAGCCCCTATTTTAATTTCTTAAAAACTTGATCTTATTAAATTTCCTTTTGGTAACTTCATTTGTGTATATAATATATTCTAATAGTACTCGGTTCCAAGTTTTGATAATTTTGTAGTCATTTTCATTTAAGGCTCAGTCTGTTTAGAGACAGGTTCTCTGTGTAGCCCTGGCTGTTCTGAACGTTCTGTGTAGACCAGAGATCCTCCTGCCTTGCCTCCCAAGCGCTGGGATTAAAGGCAGGTGCCACTGTGTCCTTTGCAGGGCTTCTTAATGAAAATAATTTTTATGTGTGGTTAAAATTAAAATTCTTTCAGGGAGTAAGAAGAAGTGATCAATAGTCTGTTTTTTGAGTCTTATTATTGTGCATTGGAGTATAAGAGCAGCCGTTCTCCTAGAATAGAGCTGAAGCGCCAGCTAGAACTTTTACTGTACAGTTGTGATCTTGATCGTTAGGAAGAATGTGAACTGCATGAAGCCGGAATCAAAAGACTCATCTTTTGGAGTATTGAAAAACTGCTAAAATATTTTAAAAGAAATTCATAATATTCAGTTATGAAAAAGAGAAATCGTCTAGGGACTGGTTGCAATTTATAAGTATGACAGAACCATGTAAATTCAGAATGGTAGAGAGGTTAGACAGTCCCTAGGCTGTCCTGGCTTCTTTTGATCTGAGGATTACTTTCCACTCTGTTTCATTTTATAATTAATTTTTAAATTTTATGTTATGTGTGTGTGTGTTTGTATATGGGTATGTGCACATGAGGGCAGATGTCTAGACTTACTGGTGCTCATGAGCCACCTGATTGCAGTGCTGGGAACCAGAGCTCAGGTCACCTCAGAGAACAAAGTCTTCCTGACCACTGAGCTGTGGCTCCAGCCCTCCACCTTACAGTTTGAGACAAATCTCTCGCTGGGCCTGGAGCTCACCAGCTGACCACTCTGGCTGCCTAGGACCTTGCCCCTCAGCTCCTTCTTTGTCCCCTGTTCCCCCTCCTCAGTACTGGGGTCATAGGCCTAGGCCTCCATGGCTCTTTACTCCATTACCCCTGAGCCATCTCTGCAGCCCCAAGTTAGGAGTGTCTTCCACAAGGGAAAGCTGTTCACGAAAGAATCTGCTTCTTATGTTTGGAAAACAACTTTTTCTTTAAAAACAAAAACAAAAAAAGCAGCTCACCTAGGAACAGTTCTGTAATAACATGACATCAGTTTCATACCTGAAAACTGATTGCCATTCGTTTATAATAACTGGGGAAAGGAATTTATTTCAGGTTACAGAATGATGTGTGTGTGTGTGTGTGTGTGTGTGTGTGTGTGTGTGTGTGTGTGTG